AATGAGCATCCCACCGTTCCATACCCCACCAAGTCCCCACCTCATATATTCTTCCACAACCCCACCCACACACCTCCTCTCCTGCTTTCTCCCACACCTACCTGTCGCAGCATGAGTGAAGCAAGCATTCCAGCTAGAGGCTTTGTGGCTGGGCTGAGCTGCGATGAGCATCCCACCGTTCTATACCCCACCAAATCCCCACCTCATATATTCTTCCACAACCCCACCCACACACCTCCTCTCCTGCTTTCTCCCACACTCACCTGTCGCAGCATGAGTGAAGCCAGCATTCCAGCCAGGGGCTTGGTGGCGGGGCTGAGTTGCGCCATGAGCACATGTGTAAACAGCCCTCCCCTCTCCTGCTTCCTCTCACATTCTCACCTGTTGGAGCATCAGGGAAGCAAGCATTCCAGCTAGAGGCTTGGTGGCCGGGCTGAGTTGCGCCATGAGCAGGCACGCATAGCCTACTGTGCTATACCCCCACCCACCCCCTCTCTTCATCCTTTCTCCCACACCCACCTGTCGCAGCATCAAGGAGGCGAGCATTCCTGCGAGTGGCTTCGTGGCGGGGCTGAGTTGCGCCATGAGCACACATGCATACAGCCCATACTCCCACTCCACCCACACCGCTTCCCCATCCTTTCTCCCACACCCACCTGTCGTAGCATCAGGGAGGCCAGCATGCCTGCGAGAGGCTTGGTGGCGGGGCTGTGCTGCGCCAAGGACACACATTCACACCTACACACTGCTATCCTGCTTTTGAGGCGCCTCACAAGAACACACATTCACACCTACACACTGCTATCCTGCTTTTGAGGCGCCTCACAAGAACACACATTCACACCTACACACTGCTATCCTGCTTTTGAGGCGCCTCACAAGAACACACATTCACACCTACACACTGCTATCCTGCTTTTGAGGCGCCTCACAAGAACACACATTCACACCTACACACTGCTATCCTGCTTTCTCCCACACCCACCTGTCGCAGCATCAAGGAAGCCAGCATTCCAGCTAGAGGCTTGGTGGCCGGGCTGAGTTGCGCCATGAGCACGAGAATCTGGGCCGATGGCATGGCTGATTGGATCTGCGGGGAGAAGGGGAGAGGAGAGTGGAGGAATCGAGGTTTAGTGTCGAGGAGAGAGGAGGGGACAGACTTGAGCACGAGAGTCTGGCGTGGCATGGCGGTTTAGATCTGAAGGGAGAGGGGGGCAGCAGTTTTTGGAGGAGAGAGGAGGGTGAGAGGTGAGCTTACGTCCGGGTAGCCAGGCTGAGTTGAGCCATGAGAACGAGATTCTGGGCCGATGGCATGGCTGTTTGGATCTGAGAGGGGAGGAGAAGGAGAGTAGAGAGGAGTTTTTACAGAGGCAAACTCGTTACAAGGCAAAGTTGAGAAGTAGAAGCAAAAGAATATGACGGGGGGATGATTTCAGTACAAGGAGAGATTTTGAAAGGGGTGGGGGAGGGAGAGAAACACTGACCATGAGGGTGAGTGCACAAATGGGGTCTTGGGGAATCAACCTGGCGTTGTAGAGTGCCTGTGAGGCACAGGGACGGGTGGAAAGGGGAGGGCGAAAAGGAGAGGGAGGGGAGAGACGGCGCAAAAGCACAGAAGATGTCAGGAAATGCGTGTGATGAGTGTGGAGTGAGTGAGTGTGGAGTGAGTGAGTGTGGAGTGAGTGTGGAGTGAGTGTGGAGTGAGTGATTGTGGAGTGAGTGTGGAGTGAGTGTGTCGTGTAGTACATGTGGAGGAAACGGATGGGTGAGATGGGAGAGGGCGATGACAGGGGCAAGGGAGGGAAACGAGGGGGTTGACTTTTGAGTAGACTCAGAAGTCAACTCGGATGAGTGACATGGGAGAGGGCGATGACAGGAGCGAGGGTGGGAAGTCTAGTTTTGAGGCGCCTCAAAACTTGACATGGGAGAGTGCGATGGCAGGGCCAAGGATGGGAAACGAGGGGGTGGAAGGGAGAGGGAAAAAGGGGGAAAAAGCCTTACCGTGAATGCAACGGTCCCAAATGTTGCAGGGTGTTTTTGAGAATTCTCAAAAACACCCTGCAACATCAAGGGAGAAAGAGAAAGGGGGCAAAAGCCTTACCGTGACTGCGATGGTCCCAAGCATGGGCAGCAGCAGCAGGCGCACAGCACACACCACCCAGAGCGGAGAGGATGGAAGGGAGAGGATGGACGGAAGAAGCAAGAAGGACGAAAGGGAGGAAAAGGACAAAGCCTTACCATGACTGCGACAGTTCCAAGCATGGGCAGCAGCAGCAGGCGCACAGCACACACCACCTGGGGTGGTGGAGAGCGGTTGAGGGGGGTGGGGAGGGGTTGAGGAGGGTGAATATCGGCTGAGATGAGCTTTTGAGGCACCTCAAAAGTCGACCTTGGTGGTGGGGACACAAGGCAGGGGTAGTGGCGTGAAATGGAAGGGCAGCAGAGCGAGAGGGGTGGAAGGGTGGTTTGAGGAAAGGTTAAGCAGTGAACAAAAGGGTACGCAGAGAGAGGTCAAGAGGTAAGACCATACAGCTCTGAAAAAGCACCTGAAAATGCACCTGTGAAAGCGCCTGTGGGAGCACCTACAGTGGTTCGTGCACCAGGACACACCATGCAGTTCACCTGGAAGCACCGAGCCAGACGAGCACTATATTCTACCTGCCTGGACACCTGAGCCGCACCTGACTAAAAACCTGAACCACACCTTGATGGCACACTGAATACACCAAGCCCCACCTGGCAACACCTGAACCTCACCTGACGATACACCTGAACCATACCTGATGATACGCGTGACCTGAACCCCACCTGACGACACACCTGAACCCCACTTGATGATACACCTGTCCTGAACCCTACCTGGCTGAGAACTGAAGGCGTGGCTTCGGGAAGTACGTTGGTCCTCATTAGCCATACTATGAAGGCTGGAGGGCGAACATGGAGACGTGTGGGGGAAGGAGGAAGCATGGCGGTGGGGTGAGTGCGAGAGGTCAGTGGTGGAAGGTGGTGGCTATGGGGGAAGGACGTTGGTCCTCATTAGCCATACTATGAAGGCTGGAGGGAGAACATGGAGAGGGGGGACACGACCAGAATTGCGACGAGAATTGCGAGGAGAAATGCGACGAGAATTGCGACGTGAATTGCGACGAGAAATGCAACGAGAAATGCGACGAGAATTGCGACGGGAATTGCCACATGAGGGGTCCGCATGAGGCACCTTTCGACGGCGACTCACCGCACATGGCGAACAGCTTGAACGAGGCTCTCAGGGACGCGCGTAGAACGGGAATGCGGGTTAGCAGGAGGCATGAAGCACAGCTAGCATTGACTCACCGCACATGGCGAACAGCTTGAACGAGGCTCCCAGGGACGCGCGCAGGACGGGCGTGTTCACGCCACACGCGCCCAGCAACGCTCCCACTGCGCCTGATGATGGTAATGATGCCGCTGCTGCTGCTCCTACCCCTGCCCCTGCTGTTCCCGCTGCTGCTGGCGCAGCCGCGATTCCCCCCGCCACCACTGCAGCTGCTGTAGCCGCAATGACGTGGCTAGTCCTGCCTGTTGACGTGGCGCTGACTGATGGACGGCTAATCCTGTCTGCTGACATGGCGCTAATTGGCGGACAGCTATTCCTGCTGACTGACGGACGCCTGACCGACGGGCCATTGGCGGAAGTGACTTTGCAGCGAAGCGCCGCCGCGTTCCCGAGAAACGACCGTCGGAATTGGCTATCTTAGCCGGCAGGGCGTCTACCTAGACGGCTGCTTCTGCTGGGTGTGACAGCAAGAGAACTGAGGCTGATTCTGATTGGTCCACCCGAGACGGCGAAGCACGGAAGAGTGCTGCTTGAAAGTGCCTTCGCAGCGGAAAGGACACGCGGCGAGGCGTGAGTGGCTGGACTGGGAGTAGAAGTCAGAACACAGGTTCCTGGAAGCATCGAGAACATGGCGTAATGTCGCTCGATCAGTGCCGCTTTACCAGCGAATCGAATCGGATTAAATCGGATCGTCGATTCCCGCTCTAAAACGGTGTAACGGGCAGACTGAAGGCCCCGTTCGGATCACAAAGCCAAATGTCGAAAGTCGCTGGAATTAGTTCGGATCGCTTGCGGTATCCAGATGTACAGCTCGCGAGCTCCTTTCGCTAACAGTCGCCAATAAATTGCGAGACTAAGGACTTCAGGATTGCTGCGCAGCGTAGTCTGGCGAATATAGGTAACTCGCTCTGTCAGTGAGCGATTAAGCAGTTCGAAACGATTCTTCTTCGGCCGGTCAACTTGAAGTCGCAAGCGGGACTTGCGCGTGTCAGCATTCGCCGAATAGCGACGACGGAAAGTCAACGATCAAATACGACGACCGAATCGCGCAAGAGAGCAATCACAACGTAGGGTGTAAGCGACGGCATTTCGCGAAGGGAAACTGCGAGGAAGTACACCCGTCTCGATCAAAACACGAAGATGCTTGATATTTTGAAACTGTAATCAGATGGTAACCATCTCTCCACGGAAATCGCGATTGGTCCGAAAAAAAGCGCTGCGAACACGATAGGCGAAGAAAAGCGAATAGCGAATGGTCACGCTGGGGAACAAGATATTGTGTGTGACGACGCATGGTAACTTAGCCATTCGCGTGCGATCGCCCTATGAACCGAGTATATAGCGAAGGATTTTGCTTCGCAACTCCACCCTTGCCATTCCACATTATAACATTTGGAAAAGCAGAAATCAATTACACTTCAGAACAACTTCATACCCGAAACTCCTAAACATAAAAGACAAATGACAGCAAAATTACAAGCAAATGGCAGGCAGGAAGATTGGCAAGTCTGCTCGTAAGGAGAAGCCTAGTGACTAGCCAACATTCCTGCCCTGATGCTCATTCCAAACTAAGATCCTCTAGAGCTTCTACTTCAAAACCCCCCCAAACATTCTTCCCACACGCCCCCAGCTCCAGCAAGAATCAGAATAGCAGTGCAAAACCGGCAGCAGCACCACATTCACATCAGGCGCCGACGGAGGGCAGTTTGACGCCCATGAGCTGGCCGCCCCACGTCACACCCCCCGCAGTGGCAGTGGCCAACACGGCATACCCACTCACAGTCGCATTCACCCCGCCACCCCCCATCATCCCCCCGGCACCCCCAGCGCCTGGGAAGCCGCCTGCAGAACCACCTGCCGGCGGCTGCTGCACCCCACCCTGCTGCTGCCCCCCCTGCTTCGCGCCAGTGACGCGCCCCGCTGCGCGCATCAGCAGCTCCCTTCCCATGCGCCTGCTGCCCTGCCCGCTGCGCGCGCCACCCGCGCCGCTGCCACTGCCGCGGCCGCCGCCGCGTGCCGAAGGGAGCGTCGCGTTGGGGAGGAGCGCGAGGAGCGCGTCGACGGTGGCGGCGTCCGCGTTTTCGAGGAACGCATCGAGCCGCGCCTCCGCGTGCAGCAGCCACCAGCCGTCGCGCTGCTGCCAGTCAGATGCCGCCACAGGCAACGAGAGAACCGCGGCGGCAGAGGCGGAAGAGTCGCAGACGGCGCCCTGCACGATCGCGAGGGAGTCGGGCGGCCCGCCCGTGGCGCCTACGAGGAGCGCGTCGACCGCCAGGTTGTAATTTCCGCTCGCGTTCCTGGCGGAAGGGGAAAGGGGGAAGCGGGGCGGAAGGGTCCCGGGGAGGTTGAGTGAAACCATACGGTATGCGCAACACAGCATAAAATGACGGAGAAAAAGCGCGGCGACAATCGAAGCCCCACGAAATTTAGGGTTTGGTACATCCCCGAAGCTTACTTGAAGATGGCGAGGTGAAAGCGGCCGTCGAGAAACGTTGGATCCGCGGAGCAATTAGCCAATCGCGCACCAACGTCCCCCGTCAGATTGCCGACGACGGTCAAGTTCAGCGGAGGACCGCGCGGGCCATCAGGTCCGCCAGGCCCGCCAGGCCCGCCGGGTCCGCCGGGTCCGCCAGGCCCGCCAGGTCCTCCGCGCGCCCCTCCGGGCTGCTGGCCTCCGGGAGGGCCTCCGCCAGGCGGACCACGCTGAGCTAGCGCGGAAGTCGCAATGAGGAGCGCAATGCATACTACAAGAAGTGCCCTGACTGCCATGGTTGTCAAAATCAGTAATTTCCGTCAATTGAAACGAGGGAGGTTGAGATGGAGGAGAGAATGGAGAGCGAACTTTGAAGTGATGGGGAGATTGAACAATTGGCGCAATCTATAGGCAGCAGCAGGATTCCCATCGCACATTCATTCCTCGAATCGGGGGTTGGGCGTTGACTGGCGAACGAGCGATTCCCGAAACGCGGTGTGACTGGTCAACAAGTTGAGAAAATGGCGCTTCGTTTCGTGAGAGGTTTGGTATGGTCAGTGGCCATGTGCCCTGGTTAGGCTGGCTTGTCAGGTCTGGTTTGGGTTTGGTGGTGAGGGTGCCCCGGGGCTCGGGCGACGCGTTTGGTGTGGTGCAACCGACAAAGCGTTGAAATTCTTCGGCTGGCTTCAAGGCGTGGGTCAACGCACAATTGGAGTATAATCGAAAGTGTAGTAGTTTTGAAGTGTAGTAGTTTTGAGTACGGAATGGCTGGAAAATCTCTAACCACTCGGAAAAATGTTTGCACCTGAACATGATATTTGTGGAATACATTAATGGCTCTCAAAAGAGAGACAGCAGTGGCCGCATAATTAGCCTTTCTACGTTGATGTACCATTTCCGTATGCTTCTCCCCATCTTGTGTCATACCATAACCTGTGTGAGCTGGTGGCATAATGTTGTGAAGTTTCTACATAATGTTGCAAATATTTGTTTTCTAATTCCAAGACAAATCACTTACATCAGCGGCACACAGCAAGTTTCCACAACAGCAGAAGCGAACCACTGAATGTGCCCAAGTGCCACTGCATAAACCCACAACCCTCGAGCTCTTCCGGGAGAAGCAATCAAGGCGAACAGTCGTTATCACCCATGGGGTCGTGCAAAGTAGCACGGCACCAGAACTGCACGTGCTCCTTCCACCGCGCCCCACTGATCACCCCCCGGCACACGCTGCACGTGACACTGCTGCCATCCCATCCCATCCCATCCCATACCCCCGCATGCACCCCAGCACATACCCTACTCTAGTGTCCGGTATTCTACACGAGTCAAGGCGACCAGCTGCCATCTGCCATGGGGCCATGCACAGCAGCACGGCACCAGAACTGCACGTGCTCCTTCCACCTTGCCCCGCTAATCACCCCCCGGCACATGCTGCACGTGACACTGCTGCCATCCGCTGCTGCATCCGCCACCACCTGCATGCGGCCCTGCTCCGCCAGTATCGCCGCCCCATCCACCCCATGCCCCCCCATTCCGAATCCTGCTGCTGCTGTATCATGGGGCGCCCCAAAACCTGCATCCGCCATCACTTGCATGCGCCCCTGCCCCGCCAGTATCGCCGCCCCATCCACCCCATGCCTCCCTGACTGATCCATCCCATATGCTGCTGCTGCTGGGTCTATCCCTTGCCTCCCTGCTTGATCCACCCCATAGCCTGCTTCTGTTGGGAGCATTCCATAGCTTGCTGCCTGCTCTGCTGCTCCATACCCAGGACGAAAGCCATACCCGTCCACCCCCTCCATTCCCCCGTTTACTGCCCCTTCCCCACGCGGCTGCCCCATGCTGCTCCCCCCCATGCTGCTTCCCCCCATGCTGCTGTCCCCCATGCCATTCCCCCCCATGCCCACGTTCCCGCCTCCCCATGCCATCGCACTTCCCCCTGCCGCCATCTGCCCGCCGCCAGCTGGCACCGCCACGTCAGCGCTGTCGATGGCGCAGCGCGCCAGCAAGGCGGTGATGTCATCAGCTCCCTGCTGTAGCTGCTGCATCTGGCGCTGGTCGTGGTGCAGGGCTCGGGCTCGAGTTAGTGCTGCCAGCACTGCTGCCTCCCCGCCCTGCGCTCTCAACACTGCTATGATCTGAGGGGGGGAGGGTGGGTGGAGGGAGGGAGGCAGGAGGAAGAGGGAGGAGGGAGGGGAGGGATGAGGGATGAGCGAGGGGACAGGATACGGTAATGGTGCTTGTTGTTACCACACAGTTAAAAGATCGACAATGCTAGCAAAACAGAAAGGAAGAAATAAAGAAAGAAAGAAAGAAAGAAAGAAAGAAAGAAAGAAAGAAAGAAAGAAAGGAAGAAAGAAAGAAAGAAAGAAAGAAACAAAGAATAAAAGAAAGAAAGAAAGAAAGAAAGAAAAATTGGTGAAGGGGAGGGCACAGGCGAATTGTAAGGCAGAGGCTCACCAGTTGCAGGGCCGCTGAGGGTTGTCCCTTGTCCACTCTCTGCCGCGCCAGCTGCAGCATGCCCCTCACGTCCAGCCCGTGGGGTGAGGGGCCTTCCATAAGTGGGCCTTTGCAAGCTCACCAGTCACACGGCAGAGGCTCACCAGTTGCAGCGCCGCGGAGGGTTGTCCCTCGTCCACCCGCTGCCGCGCCAGCTGCAGCATGCCCCGCACGTCCAGCCCGTGGGCCGAGGGACCTCCGTTGAACGCGGGATTCTCCATTAGCTGATGCGTTTTTGGCGATAGGAGATCGTGATGGCCCGGCTTGCGAAGGTGTGTGCAGCAGAGGAGAGCAGTCACGATCTTTTTTTTTTCGAACTTCTTACAGCCAGGATGTGAAGGAACCTATGGGGAAGGGGAAATAAGGGAATTGACTATCGAGTTGACTCAAAAGAGCAGCCACGATCTTCCGTTGAAATTCTTACAGCCAGGATGTGAAGGAACCTATGGGAAAGGGGAAGTAACGGAATAAAGGGCGAAGCAGCAGGGGAAGTTGTGAGTGAACTCAAAAGAGAGACGAGCGAGAGTCGTTGAGGGCCATGTGATGCAACTGGCGCGCGGTGAAGCGATCGACGACGAGCACGAGTTGCGACAAACGAAACGCGCCAGCTGCGACAGATCTGATTGAAGCGCGGGCGATGCGCCGCGGAAGCAAACAAGGACGTAACGAAGTCACTATTGCGAATTCTCTGAAGTGACGCGGACGCAGTTTTACTGATCATCGAAAGGCCGCTCACGCACCTGGCAAGATCGCAGACGGAGCAAGATCGAAAGGCCTGTTGAAGCAAGTACGCTGTCAATAAACTAGAAAGAAATGGAGGCAGGTTCTAAGGAAACTTGCGAGTCTACGATAGGGCTGTCCTGAATGTCCCGCTCACATACCGCAACTTACTGAAACGTAATGAGCGTTGAAACACGGGAGACAAGAGCTCAAGAAAGGTGGATGTGCTAAAGAAATAATCAGGAACAGAAGCCATGGAGGGCGGAGGGGCGAACGAGGATGGATCCAGGGAGTGCTGCCGATTTGTCAAGTGATCGTCTGGTGTCCCTCGTACGTCCGCCACGGTCTGATTGGATGCTCAACCTCTAGTCAATCCCAAGAATCGTCTCGTAACTTCTATCACCGCAGCTTACCGTTTGATTTGAGATGTACACGGCTATTGGATCTGAACAATTGTCGGGAGATAACCTTACTTCATGACCGTATTTCATGGCCACAACGTAAGGGCTCTACGATAACACCCCCAATCAAGATGCCGTACTAATTTCCAGTTGTGGACTTGAAACGCGGATATCGCCACGTGAGACTGGGTTTGTGTGGATGACTAGGAAACATACAATCCCGAGAGCGGAAGTTCGAACCTAACCGTGCCAGAACCACATTAAACTATTTGCACCCTCTCCAACCGCATACAATCGAACTTGACCCCAAACCATGATCGTGTTTGGCTGCTAGCCTTTCGTTGGAAAAAGCAAATATTCATGGTCATCGTCATCAGGTGCTGTTTTCACGTCATCCGTAGTTCATGGCAACTCATCCCGTCAGCGCGTTGATCGCGTGACTCGCGTCGTTGAGCTGGATCAGGACACTTTCGCGTCTCTCCCCCGTGGCTTTCGCGTTGCACACGGCGGACCATTCGCGAGTAGTGGCGGCCCGAGAAAGAGGCAGAGAAAGAAGCACAAGTTAGAAGAGTAATGGCTGTCGTTTCACCTGAATAACATTGATCAGCGAAGCCGTTCTTTCATGGCTTCCACGTGTCTCACGCCGCGGCATTCTGTAGGGCTCGGCGCACCGCCGTTTGTCTGTAGCGCAATCCTCGCTCGCTCTTCGTGTTCTAGGCTTATAACGAATATTTCCAAAACAAGCCTGCAACCAGTAGCTGCCTGTAGACCAATCGCTGCTCGCCCTTCGATACAATCACTTCGCTTTTACGACCGAGCGAGTTGGACCCGCGTCGCCACACGCAGACCGCGTAGCCCGCCTCTCAGTCCCACAGCAGCACCCCTTTTACGATTACTCACAGCCACAGGGGAACGTTTTATTTCGCAGCCGATCAGCCACAGCGGTAGTCCCAAGGCACGACTGACGTCACGGGGACGCTTGATCCCCCTACGGATCTGCCACAGCGGCACTCTCAGGGCCAGTGGCGGCAGTGACGGTTCGTGCAGAAGCAGGAGTGACGTCAGTGCTGACGTACCCGGAACCGCCGAAGCTTCTGCGGAAGCTACGCCAGGTACTCCCAGGAAATCCCGTTTGGAGGAAGATGGGAGTGGATTGAGAGAGAGCCTGGTGGGGGCAGATGAGGTACAGAGCGAGGGGGAGCAGGGCAGGACGGGACAGGGGGAGCTGAGATTCTGTCAGAGTGGGGTTTGGCAGGGGATGGGGATGGGCAAGGAGGAAACAGAGGATGATTACGGTGAGGTGGAGAGCGAGGGGAAGCAGGGCACAGAGAGGAGTGAGGTACTTAGTTTCTGTCAGAGTGGGGATTTGCAGGAGATTGGGATGGGCGAGGAGGAGACAGGGGATGATTACGGTGAGGTGGAGAGCGAGGGGAAGCTGTGCGCAAATGTAGGGGGGAGTGTGGAGGAGGTGGGTGTTTTGGAGAGTGGGGTTTGGCAGGGGACGGGGATGAGCGAGGATGAGACAGGGGATGGTGGCGTTGAAGCGGATCAGTTTGTAATGAGGACGTTGCTGATTGACAACTACGACAGCTACACCTTCAATCTTTACCACCTTCTTGCGGAAGTGAATGGAGGTGAGTGCGTGGGTGGATGGGCGTGAATGGGTGTGGATGGTCTCAAAGACGTTGCTGATTGACAACTACGACAGCTACACCTTCAGTCTTTTCCACCTTCTCGCGGAAGTGAATGGAGGTGCGTGCGTGGGTGAATGGGCGTGAATGGGTGTGGATGGGTGTGGATGGTCTCAAAGACGTTGCTGATTGACAACTACGACAGCTACACCTTCAATCTTTACCACCTTCTCGCGGAAGTGAATGGAGGTGCGTCTCATGGGTGAATGGGTGGATGGGTGGGTATGGCTGGCGGATGCGTCTCTCCCCCTACTCCATCCACCTGTGAGCGATTATAAAGAATTCTCAAACGTACCGCAGGTGCTGGCTGCTGTAGCTTTGCTCCGTCTACATACCTGCGTGCATCTCCTCCCCTCTCTCACCATATTTCATTCACACCCATCCACCTGCAGTCCCCCCAGTGGTGGTGCGGAACAACGAGGTCTCCTGGGAGTATCTCAGAGATCTGCTGCTGCACCAACGCCTCTTCCATTCAATCGTCATCTCACCTGGCCCTGGCACGCCCTGCTGCCCTGCTGACATTGGTGCGTGCGTGTGTAGGCACTGTTGTTGGTGTGCGGTTAACACTGTGTGCATGGGTGGGTGGGTAGTGCGCATTCAAGGTACCTCAGGCACCTGCTGCGCCAACGCCTCTTCCACTCCATTGTCATCTCACCTGGGACTGGCACGCCCTGCTGCCCTGCTGATATCGGTGCGTGGTTAAGTAGTGTGCTGTGCTGTCATTGGTGGATGGGTAATGTGCTAAGCTGCACTCTCATCCGCACCTGCTGCTGCACCAACGCCTCTTCCACTCCATTGTCATCTCACTTGGTCCCGGCACGCCTTGCTGCGCTGCTGACATTGGTGCGTGGGTTGTGCTGTGCTGCCAATATTGGTGGGTGGGTTCTGAGCAGTGAGCTGTGCTGTGCTGTGCTGTGCTGTGCTGTGCTGTGCTGACGTTGGTGCATGGGCAGTCTATTGTACTGTGCAGTGCTTTCCTATTTATGCTCCGTGTTTCCCTCCCTGTCGCTGTGCGTGCGTGTGTGTGTCTCTGGCTCTCGTGTGTGTGTGTGTGTGTGTGTGTGTGTGTGTGTGTGTGTGTGTGTGTGTGTGCGTGCGTGTGTGTGTGTGTCTGGCTCTCTGGCTGTGAGCAGGAGTGTGTGCGGACGTCCTGAGGGAGTGCACGGACATCCCTATTCTCGGAGTCTGCATGGGCCACCAGGTATAATATAAACATCAGTTTTTCGAGTCTATCATGAAACACGAGTCTGCATGTCAATTCTGCTGCTTGTTCTGCCTCCTGCGTGGACCTACCTGTCCCTGCCACTCCTGCCGTTCCTGACATTCCTGCCTTTCCTGCCGTTCCTGCCCCTCGTTCCACTCCTGCCACTATATCTTGCGTCTCTGGTGGTTCATACAGGCCCTGGCAGCGTTAAATGGGGGGCGGGTAGTGCACGCGCCAGAGCCTGTGCATGGGAGGCTCAGGTATGCACGCATTGTGGCCTAGCATGGCGTTGCATGGCATGGCATGGCATGGCATGACATGGCATGGAGTGGAGGCCGGGTGGTGCCTGTCCTGCACCAGAGCCTGTGCATAGGAGGCTAAGGTATGCACATACCTTGTGGATGGCGTAGCATGGCATGGGTTGGCATGGCTTGGCATTGAACGGAACCTGGGAGGTGCCAAAACCACAAACCCGTGCAGGGGAGGCTCTCACCTATCCACCAGGTGGCGTCCGAAACATTTGAGGCGTGGCGTGGCGTGGCATGGCGTGGCGTGGCATGGTTTAGCGTGTGATTTGATCGTATTGAATGGAGGCGAGGTGGTGTAAGCTCAAGATCTCTGCACGGCAGCATGCATGGAAGTCCCTTGCCTATGCGTCATAGCTATGGCATGCAGCCAGCAGCCCGCCCCGTGTGGTGTAATCACCAGGGTGCATACACAATCTGAACGGCACGTTCTTTTCAGATCCTTTGTCTCTCCTTCCCATCCCATGCTGCTTGCAAGCAATCCGTTGTCAACCTTTTTTCTCACCCATGTGGTGTGGTCGACTGTCAACCGTGTTGTCCCATGCTGCATGCAGTGGGGTGGAGCACACGGGTCATCCTCTTTTTGAGACGTCTCAAATACAACCTTTTTCTCACCCGTGTGGTCTCCCATGTGCAACCGTGTTGTCCCATGTGCAACCGTGTTGTCCCATGTGCAACTGTGTTGTCCCATGTGCAACCGTGTTGTCCCATGTGCAACTGTGTTGTCCCATGTGCAACTGTGTTGTCCCATGTGCAACTGTGTTGTCCCATGTGCAACTGTGGTCTCCCATGTGCAACCGTGTTGTCCCATGTGCAACCGTGTTGTCCCATGTGCAACTGTGTTGTCCCATGTGCAACCGTGTTGTCCCATGTGCAACTGTGTTGTCCCATGTGCAACTGTGTTGTCCCATGTGCAACTGTGTTGTCCCATGTGCAACTGTGTTGTCCCATGTGCAACTGTGTTGTCCCATGTGCAACTGTGTTGTCCCATGTGCAACCGTGTTGTCCCATGTGCAACCGTGTTGTCCCATGCTGCATGCAGTGGCGTGGAGCACACGGGTCATCCTCTTTTCGCCGGCATTCCATCTGGTTCCCATTTCCAGGTGCACCTCTCCTTCCCTCCCCCTCCTCTCCTCCCTCCTCTCCTCCCTCACGGCTTGGAGAAGTCTGAAAGCCCACCCACACCATGCTATGCTGTACGCTTGGACCACAGGGTTCAGTGCCATTCCGCGTCCCTTTCTGTGCTGCAGGTGGTGCGCTGTCATATCACTCCCTTGCCCTCCGCTGGCCCTCTCTCCCCAACAGTAGCGTCCAACCGAATGCCTTCTCATTCGGCATTGTGGGCATTGTGGACCACAACTGACGCCGTCTTTGTCTACCTTCTCACTCTCCCCTGCCACAACATGCTTGCTTCCTCACAGGTGGTGCACTATCATATCACTCCCTTGCTGTCGACTGGGTGGGCCTCGCTTCCCAACGATTGACCCCTCTCCCATTGCTTGGACCACTTTTGAGGCGCCTCAAAAGTCTTTTGAGGCGCCTCAAAAGTCTTCCTCACAGGTGGTGCACTATCATATCACTCCCTTGCTGTCGGCTGGGCCTCGCTTCCCAACGATTGACCCCTCTCCCATTGCTTGGACCACTTTTGAGGCGCCTCAAAAGTCTTTTGAGGCGCCTCAAAAGTCTTCCTCACAGGTGGTGCACTATCATATCACTCCCTTGCTGTCGGCTGGGCCTCGCTTCCCAACGATTGACCCCTCTCCCATTGCTTGGACCACGAATGACCCTCTCTCCACCTTCTCCCTCTCTCCCATCTCCCGCCATGCGTTTGTGCTGCGTGCATGCACCACAACAGGTGGTGCGCTATCACTCTCTTGCTGTCGGCTGGTCTTCCCTTCCCAACGACCTAATACCGATCGCCTGGACCACCAATGAACCTCTCTCCACACACATTGCTTCACCAGCAGCACCAGCAGCCGCACCACGCGCGGTTGCATGCGCACAGGCAGCAAACGGGGCGATGAATGCAGGAGCAGATGTGAATGGGACGATGAGTGCAGAAGCAAATATGGTGAATGGGACAGTGAACGGTGTTGGTAGAGGTGTGCAGGGAGAGGATGATGAGGGGACAGGAGTGCCGAATGGGAATGCTGTGGCTGTGAAGGGGATGATGGCACCACACCAGTATCATCGTCAACAGCAGCAGCAGGAGCAGCAGGGGGAGCAGCAGTGGGAGCAGCAGCAGAGGCAGCAGCAGGAGCAGCAGCAGCTTTCTTTTCGAGTGATTATGGGTCTGGCACACAAGACACGGCCACATGTGGGGGTGCAGGTGGGTTGCTGTTGGCTATGGATAGTATTGCGATGCGAGTCCATTCGCAACGTGCTTATGGACATTGCTGGTAGCTTCTTGGGGTCTCCGCTCCTCCTTTCTTCTCTTATCTGTTTCTCTCCTCCCCCTCCATGTCTTCCCTCCGCAGTTCCACCCAGAGAGCATCGGCACATCGTATGGGCGGCAACTATTGAAGAACTTCAAGGCCCTTGCAGCACTGACTGACTTGCTGTTGCAGCACTTCAGATTTATCCTCTCTCGCCCCCGCCTGCCCCCCTTTTTCTGCAGTTCCACCCAGAGAGTATCGGCACATCGTATGGGCGGCAAATACTGAAGAACTTCAAGGGCCTTGCAACGTTGACTTATTGTCGGTCATGTCCTCCCTCACCCCTCTTCTGTAGTTCCATCCAGAGAGCATCGGCACATCGTATGGGCGGCAACTACTGAAGAACTTTAAGGGCCTTGCAGTGAAGGCCATTCGGGAGAGGGAGAGGCGGAGAGAAAGGAGGAGGAAGGAAATTGAGAGGGGAGAAGGGCGAGAGATGGGCAAAGAGAGGGAGAGGGTGAGGGAGATAGGAATCGAGGCCACGAGCCGAAATGGCTCAGTCAAGGTAGCAGTAGGAGCAGCAGCAACGTCAGCATCAGCAGTTGCACCAGCAATGGCAGCTGCTGCAGCAACGGGCGTAGCAGAAACAGTAGGAAGCTGGGCAGCGGGAGCAGCGACAGGAGGTGGGGCTTTGCAGTCACAGCTTGACTTGATGGCACGGGTAAGCAGAGATTTGCTGTACCCTCTCTCGCATACTGGATCCCGTTCCCACTGCCTTCCCTGCTCTCCATTTCCGATCTGCCGCCCAGTTGTGTGTGCCAGCCAGAGATGGTTATATGGTGCGTGTGTGTGACCCGTTCGTTCCTCTCATGTCATTGCATGCTGTTGCATTCCTCTCACGTCATTCCCACTGCCTTCCCTGCTCTCCCCTCCCCATCTGCCGCCCAGTTGTGTGTGCCAGCCAGAGATGGTTATATGGTGTGTGTGTGTGACCCGTTCGTTCCTCTCATGCCATTGCATGCTGTTGCATTCTTCTCACGTCGTTCCCACTGCCTTCCCTGCTCTCCACTTCCCATCTGCCGCGCAGTTGTGTGTGCCGGCCAGAGATGGCTCTATGGTTTGCGGCAGAGGCACGGATTTGGTCTTCAGAGATTCGGACGGCAGAGATTTGGACGGCAGAGATTTGGACGGCAGAGATTTGGACGGCAGAGATTTGGACGGCAGAGATTCGGACGGCAGAAACTTGGGCGGCAGAGATTTTGAGGGCATGATAGTGAATGGAAATGGTTGCGCTGCGGCTCCAACAGTGCTGCCACCATCGATACCAACCGTGTTACCACGGCCATCGTCGTCAGCATCAGCATCACCATCAGCATCAGCATCACCATCAGCATCAGCATCACCATCAGCATCCCCACCACCATCAGCATCCCCACCACCATCAGCATCAGCATCAGCATCACCGAAACACCTTCATCTGACCGTGACTCGCCTTGAGGGTTTTCTGAACAGATTGAACAATGCACTGGCTGCAGCACCATCAGCATCAGCACCATCAGCATCAGCACCATCAGCATCGCCATCAACACGAGCAGCAGCAGTCATCTTCACGCATCTGTTCGCGCAGCAGGGGCAGAGTTATGCCGACACCTTCTGGCTTGACAGTGCGTCCACACACCAGGTATGTGTCAGAGGTCCACTGGGGATCCCCGATGATCCTAGGGAAGGGTTACAGGCACGTCGGCCTGGGGGGTTATGGGCGCACTCACCCGCTATATAAACAAGCCCTTTTATCCCAGTGGTTAGTGACTGGGATTCTGACATGGTATCAGAGCGAAGGTCTCGGGTTCGATTCCCGGTGTGTGCACTTCGGGCATCCCAGTGCGGGGGGGTGTCAGAGGTCCACTGGGGATCCCCGATGATCCTAGGGAAGGGTTACAGGCACGTCGGCCTGGGGGGTTATGGGCGCACTCACCCGCTATATAAACAAGCCCTTTTATCCCAGTGGTTAGTGACTGGGATTCTGACAGTATGTTCTCTTCCGCGCACAATGGGCACTCTCCAGCGTCGTACCAGGTGCATGCGCGAGTAGCAGCAGCCAGCAGGTACCACCAGAAAGGGAAGAGTTACGCCGACTCCTTCTGGCTTGTTTTGAGACGTCTCAAAACTATGCCGACTCCTTCTGGCTTGTTTTGAGACGTCTCAAAACTGTGCCAACTCCTTCTGGCTGGACAGCGCATCTACGCACCAACTGTGTGCGCTTGTAAGAACGTGTTCTTACCTGCTTTACTGCATGGGAGAAACGGGGGGTCCCCTCCGTTGCCAGCACCCATGTAAGTCATCCGTTGCCAGCACCCATGTAATTCATCCGTTGCCAGCACCCATGTAAGTCATCAGTTGCCAGTTGACCCTCCGTTTTGCTTCTACTCTATAGCTGCCGGCATTATACTGTCTCCTTTCCATCTATCCTGACGGGGCTTGGTTTGCTTTTCCTACACGGGTGTGAGTTGCCTCCCCTCCTATCCCTTTTGCCCCTCGTGCGTTTGTGGTCTCTAACTGTGTTGCCGACTTTTACTGTCAGGGCTTGGCGCGCTTCTCCTACATGGGAGGGAGGGGCGGTCCTCTTTGGTCCAAGCTCACGTACAAGCTGCCAGCCGAACCTTTGCTGACAACCGAACCTCCACTGACAGCCGGGCCTCAGTTGGCAGCCGAACCTCCTTTGCCAAACCATGTGCAGAATGGGAGCGGCGTAAGCAGTGCAAGAAACAGTAGTGCTAATGTTGAACTTGATATCAGCAACAGGAACAGGGGTGATGGCATTGGCAGTGAAAATGGCAGAAGCAAAAGCAGCAACAGCAGCAGCACCAGCACCAGGGAAGGGAGCAGTGTAGGCAGTGCATATAACAGTAGCAGTAGTGTCGAACTTGACAGCAGCGGCAGTATAAGTAGCAGTTGGAGTAGAAGTGATTATCCTGACATTAGCAGCAATGGTAGCAGTTGTAGCAGCTGTAGTAGCAGCAGCGAAAGTGGGAGTAGCAGGAGCCAGCCAACATTGAATGGGGGTGGCACGTTTGATACAGTCACAGGCGGCACTCTCCGATTGAAGAACAGCAATTGCGAAGTGACTATAGTGAAGGAAGGCACGTGGGAGGGCGGCATCTTTAGCTTCCTTGAAGAGGTGAGCTGATTGGCAATCAGTGCATGAAGAGCAGGTATCTGGGTTCGGGTTAGCGTATATGATATTATATGGTTGCATTCAGATCAGACTATGGTTCCTTCATATTACTAAACTTCCTTTTTTCCCACACCTCTCCCTCTTCTCCCACCAACAGCACCTACCTGCAGCAGCTGCACACGAGGCTGCTACTCTATTATTGCTCAATCCTGTCTCCCGCCTCTTTTTCGTCCCATGTATCCCCTTGCTCCGACTCCCCCCCCCCCCCTCTTCTCCCCCCCCCCCCCCCATCAACAGCACCTGCAGCAGCACCAGTGCACACCTCACGAGGTCGCTGCTTTGCCTTTCGACTTCTGTGGCGGCTGGGTCGGTTATTTCGGGTAAGCAATTGGGTGATGCTGTGGTGTTTGCTATTTTGGGTAAGCAATTGGGTGATGCTGTGGTGTTTGCTATTTTGGGTAAGCAATTGGGTGATGCTGTGGTGTTTGCTATTTTGGGTAAGCAATTGGGTGATGCTGTGGTGTTTTCTATTTTGGGTAAGCCAGTGGATCAGCTGTTTTGGGTACGCAAGTGGGTGATGCTGTGGTGTAATGCTATTTTGGGTAAGCCGGTGGGTTGTGCTAAATCGGTTCTTCTGCAGTGCCACTTGAGTCCAATTGAGCACAACCGCCGCTTCTATTTTGAGTCGACTAAAAAATCGACTCATCACACTCAATAATTGAGTCGTCTGAAAAATGCCACTTGAGTCCAATTGAGCACAGCACAACCGCCGCTTCTATTTTGAGTCGACTAAAAAATCGACTCATCACACTCAATAATTGAGTCGTCTGAAAAATGCCACTTGAGTCCAATTGAGCACAGCACAACCGCCGCTTCTATTTTGAGTCGACTAAACAATCGACTCATCACACTCAATAATTGAGTTGTCTGAAAAATGCCACTTGAGTCCAATTGAGCACAGCACAACCGCCGCTTCTATTTTGAGTCGACTAAAAAATCGACTCATCACACTCAATAATTGAGTCGTCTGAAAAATGCCACTTGAGTCCAATTGAGCACAGCACAACCGCCGCTTCTATTTTGAGTCGACTAAAAAATCGACTCATCACACTCAATAATTGAGTCGTCTGAAAAATGCCACTTGAGTCCAATTGAGCACAGCACAACCGCCGCTTCTATTTTGAGTCGACTAAAAAATCGACTCATCACACTCAATAATTGAGTCGTCTGAAAAATGCCACTTGAGTCCAATTGAGCACAGCACAACCGCCGCTTCTATTTTGAGTCGACTAAAAAATCGACTCATCACACTCAATAATTGAGTCGTCTGAAAAATGCCACTTGAGTCCAATTGAGCACAGCACAACCGCCGCTTCTATTTTGAGTCGACTAAAAAATCGACTCATCACACTCAATAATTGAGTCGTCTGAAAAATGCCACTTGAGTCCAATTGAGCACAGCACAACCGCCGCTTCTATTTTGAGTCGACTAAAAAATCGACTCATCACACTCAATAATTGAGTCGTCTGAAAAATGCCACTTGAGTCCAATTGAGCACAGCACAACCGCCGCTTCTATTTTGAGTCGACTAAAAAATCGACTCATCACACTCAATAATTGAGTCGTCTGAAAAATGCCACTTGAGTCCAATTGAGCACAGCACAACCGCCGCTTCTATTTTGAGTCGACTAAAAAATCGACTCATCACACTCAATAATTGAGTCGTCTGAAAAATGCCACTTGAGTCCAATTGAGCACAGCACAACCGCCGCTTCTATTTTGAGTCGACTAAAAAATCGACTCATCACACTCAATAATTGAGTCGTCTGAAAAATGCCACTTGAGTCCAATTGAGCACAGCACAACCGCCGCTTCTATTTTGAGTCGACTAAAAAATCGACTCATCACACTCAATAATTGAGTCGTCTGAAAAATGCCACTAAAGTCCAATTGAGCACAGCACAACCGCCGCTTCTATTTTGAGTCGACTAAAAAATCGACTCATCACACTCAATAATTGAGTCGTCTGAAAAATGCCACTTGAGTCCAATTGAGCACAGCACAACCGCCGCTTCTATTTTGAGTCGACTAAAAAATCGACTCATCACACTCAATAATTGAGTCGTCTGAAAAATGCCACTTGAGTCCAATTGAGCACAGCACAACCGCCGCTTCTATTTTGAGTCGACTAAAAAATCGACTCATCACACTCAATAAATGAGTCGTCTGAAAAATGCCACTTGAGTCCAATTGAGCACAGCACAACCGCCGCTTCTATTTTGAGTCGACTAAAAAATCGACTCATCACACTCAATAATTGAGTCGTCTGAAAAATGCCACTAAAGTCCAATTGAGCACAGCACAACCGCCGCTTCTATTTTGAGTCGACTAAAAAATCGACTCATCACACTCAATAATTGAGTCGTCTGAAAAATGCCACTTGAGTCCAATTGAGCACAGCACAACCGCCGCTTCTATTTTGAGTCGACTAAAAAATCGACTCATCACACTCAATAAATGAGTCGTCTGAAAAATGCCACTTGAGTCCAATTGAGCACAACCGCCGCTTCTTTCCTGCCCTCTGCTGCCTGCACTATCTAGCTAAATGTGCACGAGAGGAAATGTGCACTATCTAGCTAAATGTGCACGAGAGGAAATGTGCACTATCTAGCTAAATGTGCACGAGAGGAAATGTGCACTATCTAGCTAAATGTGCACGAGAGTAAGTGTGCACTATCTAGCTAAATGTGCACGAGAGGAAATGTGCACTATCTAGCTAAATGTGCACGAGAGGAAATGTGCACTATCTAGCTAAATGTGCACGAGAGGAAATGTGCACTATCTAGCTAAATGTGCACGAGAGGAAATGTGCACTATCTAGCTAAATGTGCACGAGAGGAAATGTGCACTATCTAGCTAAATGTGCACGAGAGGAAATGTGCACTATCTAGCTAAATGTGCACGAGAGGAAATGTGCACTATCTAGCTAAATGTGCACGAGAGGAAATGTGCACTATCTAGCTAAATGTGCACGAGAGGAAATGTGCACTATCTAGCTAAATGTGCACGAGAGTAAGTGTGCACTATCTAGCTAAATGTGCACGAGAGGAAATGTGCACTATCTAGCTAAATGTGCACGAGAGGAAATGTGCACTATCTAGCTAAATGTGCACGAGAGGAAATGTGCACTATCTAGCTAAATGTGCACGAGAGTAAGTGTGCACTATCTAGCTAAATGTGCACGAGAGGAAATGTGCACTATCTAGCTAAATGTGCACGAGAGGAAATGTGCACTATCTAGCTAAATGTGCACGAGAGGAAATGTGCACTATCTAGCTAAATGTGCACGAGAGGAAATGTGCACTATCTAGCTAAATGTGCACGAGAGTAAGTGTGCACTATCTAGCTAAATGTGCACGAGAGGAAATGTGCACTATCTAGCTAAATGTGCACGAGAGGAAATGTGCACTATCTAGCTAAATGTGCACGAGAGTAAGTGTGCACTATCTAGCTAAATGTGCACGAGAGGAAATGTGCACTATCTAGCTAAATGTGCACGAGAGGAAATGTGCACTATCTAGCTAAATGTGCACGAGAGTAAGTGTGCACTATCTAGCTAAATGTGCACGAGAGGAAATGTGCACTATCTAGCTAAATGTGCACGAGAGGAAATGTGCACTATCTAGCTAAATGTGCACGAGAGGAAATGTGCACTATCTAGCTAAATGTGCACGAGAGGAAATGTGCACTATCTAGCTAAATGTGCACGAGAGGAAATGTGCACTATCTAGCTAAATGTGCACGAGAGGAAATGTGCACTATCTAGCTAAATGTGCACGAGAGGAAATGTGCACTATCTAGCTAAATGTGCACGAGAGGAAATGTGCACTATCTAGCTAAATGTGCACGAGAGGAAATGTGCACTATCTAGCTAAATGTGCACGAGAGTAAGTGTGCACTATCTAGCTAAATGTGCACGAGAGGAAATGTGCACTATCTAGCTAAATGTGCACGAGAGGAAATGTGCACTATCTAGCTAAATGTGCACGAGAGGAAATGTGCACTATCTAGCTAAATGTGCACGAGAGGAAATGTGCACTATCTAGCTAAATGTGCACGAGAGGAAATGTGCACTATCTAGCTAAATGTGCACGAGAGGAAATGTGCACTATCTAGCTAAATGTGCACGAGAGGAAATGTGCACTATCTAGCTAAATGTGCACGAGAGTAAGTGTGCACTATCTAGCTAAATGTGCACGAGAGGAAATGTGCACTATCTAGCTAAATGTGCACGAGAGGAAATGTGCACTATCTAGCTAAATGTGCACGAGAGGAAATGTGCACTATCTAGCTAAATGTGCACGAGAGGAAATGTGCACTATCTAGCTAAATGTGCACGAGAGGAAATGTGCACTATCTAGCTAAATGTGCACGAGAGGAAATGTGCACTATCTAGCTAAATGTGCACGAGAGGAAATGTGCACTATCTAGCTAAATGTGCACGAGAGTAAGTGTGCACTATCTAGCTAAATGTGCACGAGAGGAAATGTGCACTATCTAGCTAAATGTGCACGAGAGGAAATGTGCACTATCTAGCTAAATGTGCACGAGAGGAAATGTGCACTATCTAGCTAAATGTGCACGAGAGTAAGTGTGCACTATCTAGCTAAATGTGCACGAGAGGAAATGTGCACTATCTAGCTAAATGTGCACGAGAGGAAATGTGCACTATCTAGCTAAATGTGCACGAGAGGAAATGTGCACTATCTAGCTAAATGTGCACTCTCTAACTAAATGTCTTCCATGCCTTGCCTCGCATGCTTACGGGTACAAGGTGACGAGGCAGTGTGGGGAGGATAACATTTGAGTCCACCGCGCCTTGCCGTGTGTTCTCAAGTCACCTCTCTGCTCTTTGAGGCAGCTCAGAAAATACCTTGTGTTCAGAAGTCACTTAGATGCGTCGCCATGCGCGGTCTTGCCTGGTCGTGCGTGCCTGCATGCAGGTACGAGCTGAAGAGGGAGTGTGGGGCAGAGAACAACCGTCACAGGTCGCCCTTCTTGGACGCAGCTCTCTTCTTGTGGACAGATGGGTGGTGCTGGATCATACTCGGGGCGAGGGTACATGATGTCTTTACTTGCCTTGCCTTGACTACCCTTTTTGCACCTCGCCCTGCTTACATGCAGGTACGATCTGAAGAGGGAGTGTGGGGCGGAGCACAACCGTCATAAATCGCCCTTCCCGACTTTATTCATTGTTGCTTTGTTCTTTACCCTGACTTGCCTTGCCGTACCTCACCTTTGTTTCCTTGCAGGTACGAGCTGAAGAGGTTTTGTGGGGCGGAGGCGGAGCACAACCGTCATGTATCCCCCTTCCCTGACGTGGCTCTCTTCTGCGTCGACCGATGGGTGGTGCTGGATCATATTCGGGGGGATTGTATGTGTGCGCTGTGGAGGAGACTCATTCATTGCCCTGACTTGCCTTGCAATACCTCAACTTGCTTGTGTGCATGCAGGTACGAGCTGAAGAGGGAGTGTGGGGCAGAGCACAACCGTCATAAATCGCCCTTCCCGGACGCGGCCCTCTTCTGTGTGGACAGATGGGTGGTGGTAGATCATACTAAGGGGGACGTGTATGTGTGCGCTGTGGAGGAGAGTAGAAAGACGAAAGAGAAAAGTGGGGAGAAAGAAAAGGAGAGCAGGAAAGGTGTGATGGGAGGTGGCGGAAACGAGGAGAGAGGTGAGGGGACAGGTGAGGGTAGGGAGGAGAACAGGATTTGCAACGGCGGTGGGGATTCTATTGGTGGTACATATGCTGATTATGTGCTCCGGTGCGGTGCCGATAGGGGAGAGTGGAGAGGGGCTAGAGGAGGAGAGGGCGAGAGGAGAGGAGGAAGGAAAAGAGTAGCGGACAGCAGTGGGGACGCAGCAGAGGGGAGCAGTGGCGAGGAAACGGATGGGTGCAGATGGGTGGCAGAGACGAGTGAGAAGCTGATGGCTCTGGTGGAAAGAAGGGTCGGGCAGGTGAATGAGGCAGAGGTAGCGTCTGCAGCAGAGGCGAGACCCACGCATGGGAGTTGTGAAGTGGGAGAGAATGAGAGGGGTGAGACGGACGAGAGATGGAGGGAAGAGCAGGGTCAACGAATAGGGCAGCCGAGAAGAGGGGAGGCTTCGAGAGAAGCTGTAGAGGGCTTGTCTGTTCTGTCAGAGCCCCTAGTGGTGGAGCGGTGTAGAGAGCGGTACAAAGCGAATGTGGCGCGGTGCCTGGGGGAGATTGCCAAGGGGGAGAGCTATGAGCTCTGCCTCACCACCCGCCTTGAAAGTGAATCTCAGCCGTCGGATCCACTCGGGGCGTATCTACGGCTGAGGGAACGAAACCCTGCTCCATTTGCGGCTTGGATGTGTATGGGAGAGATAAGTCAATACTCCATAAGTGAGGGGAGAGAAGAGGAGTTGGAGGAACAGGAGGCTGTGGGAGTGGAGAAAGAACCGAAGGGTGGGGGGAAAGAGGAGAATAAGTCGCAGGTGCAGCAGCACAACCACCCCGCTGTGCTCCGTGCCCCCTTTGCCCTCTGCTGCTCCTCCCCGGAGCGGTTCCTGCGGGGCGACAGGCAGGGCATGCTGTGGGCCAAGCCCATCAAGGGCACTGTGCGGCGGGGAGTGACAGAAGAGGAGGATGAGCGGCTGAAGCGAGAACTCATGTGCAGGTGAGAGCAAGTAGCAGCACCCTCAGCGCTCCGTGCCCCCTTGGCTCTCTGCTGCTCCTCCCCCGAGCAATTCATGCGGGGCGACAGCAGAGGAGGATGAGAGGCTCAAGTTAGAGCTGATGTGCTGGTGAGCGTGCAGGATACGACCTTGGAGACGTCTCAATGTAGGTGAGCGTTTAGGGTTGTTCTCAAGAGAGGAACTGAGGTTATGTAGGAGAGCAACCTGCGAATGAAGAGGTTTGAGCTCTTGTAAGTTTCTCTTGCGTTTGCGTGCCATGCTCACACGTTTAGTTCCTCCTTGTTTGTGTTTTTGCTCCCAACCCCTCCCAACCCCTCCCAACCACTCGCCTCACTCAGTGACAAGGACAGGGCAGAGAACCTCATGATCGTTGATCTTCTCCGGAATGATCTCGGGCGAGTCTCAACCGTTGGATCGGTGCACGTCCCGTCGCTCATGGCCGTTGAATCCTACGCCACTGTTCACCAGCTCGTGAGCACTATAGCTGCGCAGAGCCGCCCGGACCTCTCCCCACTGGCCTGCATCCGGGCGGCGTTTCCGGGCGGCTCGATGACTGGGGCACCGAAAATAAGATCTATGGAGATCTTGGATGAGATCGAAGGGTCGGCAAGGGGGCCGTATTCGGGAGCCCTGGGGTTTGTTTCGTTTTCGGGCACCTTTGATTTGAATATTGTGATTCGAACGGCTGTGATGGGTGGAGAGATGGGGGATGGATTGGAGGGGGAGAAGCGAGCAGGAGAGGATGGGGAGGCAGAGGAGGGAGGTGAGAAGACCTGGGAAAGGGAGGGAGTAGGAGCAAGTGGAGAAGAGGAATGGATAGAGGGTGAGGGGGAGAAGGGGGCAAAGAAAGCTGCTGTGGATTGGAAGAGGAGCAGAAGGAAGGGCAGGACGATGATTGGAGCAGGAGGGGCGGTGGTGATGTTATCACAACCAGAGAGTGAGTTTGAAGAGATGGTACTTAAAGCGAGGTCTCTGGTGAGAGTGCTGCGACCAGATGGAGCTGATGATTTGGATGGGGTGTGATTGGCCAGTGAGGTTACGGTATTTTCTTCCTATCAACTTCACTGGGGTGCGAGACATTGCTCGTGTGACTGGGCAAGTCTTGTCTCGTTATCATCTTCATGGTGAGTTCTCAGTTCATTGTGGCCAAATATCATCTTGACACCCTGGCCACCTTTGAGTTTGTTATGTAATTTGTTTTAGGCGCAGTTGATTTGGGAGGTAGTCACACTCTTTCTGTTGCCGTAACGAGAATATTTCTGGTAAGGCAGCATTTTCATCCACGTCAACATCCTCCGCAGACACGTGTAACCTCCTCAGATCTGGCGAGAGTTCCGACGAAAGATCGATGGGCCAACATCATAGACATGCAAATCAGTCTGGTAACCCTATTCGATGGTATGCAAAACCGTCGATACCCCAGTTCTGCTGCGCAAAATTGTCTGGTAGCGCCACTCAAAACACTGTAACAGCTGACGCAGCACAGAAAAGGAAGAAAATATGTGATAGAATCAGTTGCGTTTTCGATTTCTTATCTTCGTGGTTCTTCCCGCGTCTTGTTCGGCGCCTAACAAATATTCCTGCCGGCTACTATTTTCCGCTAAATGTGACGAAAAATCCACTGGAATGAAAGGCTACGGGGTCCATTTCGATAACATTAATTTGGACCAATATATTGCTACCGGGAAATGTAGGGGCAGGGCAGAAAAACAATAAAACCCCTAGCGACCTGGACGCATTTCTGGGAGGGATCAACCCTAAACACGGGAAAGGACATTGTTTTTAGGGTTGATGCCTCCCTGACGCATCCCTTTCCGATCGGGTTTTATTTTTTTCTTGGCCCGAAGAAATCACGTCTTAGCGCGAAGGCAAGCGCGGTAAAGATCAAATTTGAATTAAAAACGAACGCGCTATCAGGGCAGCATGTCAATAACTTGCAAACAGAGGTAAGGGCTCATTCCGCTGTGGACAGCGTCCCAATCTAGTGTCCCAATCGATTCTACCGCACTGCATCTTATTACACCGAATTACACCCTAGTTTCAAAATTTTCGCTTCTCTGGTTTAGTGCGGTTCGGAGCGGTACACCCGATTGGGACATGTACGATTGGGACATGTCCATGGCGGAATGGGCCCTAAGACGGTTTTGCATACCATTGGATAGGGTTACCACACTAATTTGCATGTCTATGATGTTGGCCCAAGATCGATGGGCGAATTCCGAGGATTTGCAATTGCAATCCCAAATACGCGCAGTCGTCTTCTCTCTTGACAGTACATCTTCGAAGGGCGCGTGTTAACTACATTAAACTGCCTTCGGAACACGAACTGTGTAGCGTACTTGTTAGCGAAAATGATCGTTACTGTCGTTGACGAGCCGCGAGCCTAAAATGATTGATCGTAGGGTACGACGAAATTGAGAAGCACTGACTGTCCCACAGCCCTGAAATCTCGTACAAAGAACATGCGTTGGTATAAACAAGACTTGCCCAGTCACAGGAGCATCCGTGCTTGCGTTGGTGACAACTGCACAGTCACAGAACAGCTGGACACGGTTTTCACGATCGAATGCAGTGCATGTGACCGCACATGCTCGTATCGCATGCTCTTTTTCGTCGAAACGAAATTCCTCGAAATTCCCGAGATCGAGCTTGGCTGATATATTTTTTTACCACATCTCTCCGTTTTCAATTCTGCTTCTTGGTCATTCTATGGCTGCCTGCTTTCGCCTAGTTCCGACTGCTACTTGCCGCTTGGTACGCGAAATTTCTGACGCATTTTACGGACGTCCATTGTTCAACATTTTTCCGCTTTTGAATCCAGCCCTCGCCGTGCGCGCCGCCTTCGGCGAAAGCGCGAAAAAGATGCTCGATAAAATATAAGCTTCGCAGCGCTCGCCACCTTCACTTGGCTCATCGTGCGAAAGATCCCTCCCCGTTCCGTGCAGGATCTGCAGAATCGTGCCGGAGCCACTCTGTTGAGCGGCGCCTCATCTGCTTCGTCCGCCTCAAAAGCACTCAGGTCCGTTGATCAGAGCGTGCTTGGCCGTTGATCAGAGCGTGCTTGGCCGTTGATCAGAGCGTGCTTGGCCGTTGATCAGAGCGTGCTTGGCCGTTGATCAGAGCGTGCTTGGCCGTCGATCAGAGCGTGCTTGGCCGTTAGTAGGGAGCCCGCACCTCGTTTCGAAAGCACTCAAGTCCATGATCAGACCGGTTCCTGGAATTCAGCTCAGTCCGGACTCTTGGGGGCTCCTCCCCGCGTGTGATGAGTCGATTTTTGAGTCGACTCAAAAATCGACGACCCTCTTTTCGAAAGCACTTAGGTTCATGATCAACCCGGTTCTGGGCTTCAGCTCGGTCCGGATTCCTTGGGGCTCCTCCCGGCTCTGCCACTCCCTTATCTCCTCTCCCTACTCTTCTCGTATCATCCCCTCCTCTGGCTAAAACGTCTCGCTCAAATATCCCTTTTGCCTGTTGCCTGCTGCATCTTTTGGAATCGCAGATCAGCCCAGTTTCTCGGTTCTTCCTTCTTCCTGCACTCCCCTGGCAGCGAAGAGGCGTGGTCCAGGCAAGCAAGTAGCGCGAGGCGTCAAATTAAAGTTTCCCCGTCTCATTGTTGTGCGCTGCACCTTGTGCAGCTGTAGCAGCGCCACCCAATTCCTCGGTTCCTCTCTGCTCCTGCACTCCCTTGGCGGCGAAGGCGCGTGGTCCGGGCAAGCAAGCTCCGCGAGCGGTGCGCGCCGCTCCTGCAGCACGCTCGTCCACGCCATGGCTGCAGGTAGGCACGGAGCTGATGTGATGGATGGGGTGTGTCATGGCTGCAGGTACTGCGTGTGGTGCTCAAGTGATGGGTGGGGTGTGGTCCAGACAAGCAAGCAGCGCAAGCCGTTCACACTCACAGTCCCAGTTGCTTTCCTCCTCTGATGCTTCTGTCGCTACCGTGTTTCTCCTACAACTGTGCTGTCTGAAATCAGCCTTGCGGTCCTGCTCAGCCATTCTCGCACTCTGCGCTCACGCTCACTCTGAGAGACTTACCTTTACTCACAAACACTCACATTAGCACTTACCCTCACACTCACATTAGCACTTACCCTCACACTCACATTAGCACTTACCCTCACACTCACATTAGCACTTACCCTCACACTCACATTAGCACTTACCCTCACACTCACATTAGCACTTACCCTCACACTCACATTAGCACTTACCCTCACACTCACATTAGCACTTACCCTCACACTCACATTAGCACTTACCCTCACACTCACATTAGCACTTACCCTCACACTCACATTAGCACTTACCCTCACACTCACATTAGCACTTACCCTCACACTCACATTAGCACTTACCCTCACACTCACATTAGCACTTACCCTCACACTCACATTAGCACTTACCCTCACACTCACATTAGCACTTACCCTCACACTCACATTAGCACTTACCCTCACACTCACATTAGCACTTACCCTCACACTCACATTAGCACTTACCCTCACACTCACATTAGCACTTACCCTCACACTCACATTAGCACTTACCCTCACACTCACATTAGCACTTACCCTCACACTCACATTAGCACTTACCCTCACACTCACATTAGCACTTACCCTCACACTCACATTAGCACTTACCCTCACACTCACATTAGCACTTACCCTCACACTCACATTAGCACTTACCCTCACACTCACATTAGCACTTACCCTCACACTCACATTAGCACTTACCCTCACACTCACATTAGCACTTACCCTCACACTCACATTAGCACTTACCCTCACACTCACATTAGCACTTACCCTCACACTCACATTAGCACTTACCCTCACACTCACATTAGCACTTACCCTCACACTCACATTAGCACTTACCCTCACACTCACATTAGCACTTACCCTCACACTCACATTAGCACTTACCCTCACACTCACATTAGCACTTACCCTCACACTCACATTAGCACTTACCCTCACACTCACATTAGCACTTACCCTCACACTCACATTAGCACTTACCCTCACACTCACATTAGCACTTACCCTCACACTCACATTAGCACTTACCCTCACACTCACATTAGCACTTACCCTCACACTCACATTAGCACTTACCCTCACACTCACATTAGCACTTACCCTCACACTCACATTAGCACTTACCCTCACACTCACATTAGCACTTACCCTCACACTCACATTAGCACTTACCCTCACACTCACATTAGCACTTACCCTCACACTCACATTAGCACTTACCCTCACACTCACATTAGCACTTACCCTCACACTCACATTAGCACTTACCCTCACACTCACATTAGCACTTACCCTCACACTCACATTAGCACTTACCCTCACACTCACATTAGCACTTACCCTCACACTCACATTAGCACTTACCCTCACACTCACATTAGCACTTACCCTCACACTCACATTAGCACTTACCCTCACACTCACATTAGCACTTACCCTCACACTCACATTAGCACTTACCCTCACACTCACATTAGCACTTACCCTCACACTCACATTAGCACTTACCCTCACACTCACATTAGCACTTACCCTCACACTCACATTAGCACTTACCCTCACACTCACATTAGCACTTACCCTCACACTCACATTAGCACTTACCCTCACACTCACATTAGCACTTACCCTCACACTCACATTAGCACTTACCCTCACACTCACATTAGCACTTACCCTCACACTCACATTAGCACTTACCCTCACACTCACATTAGCACTTACCCTCACACTCACATTAGCACTTACCCTCACACTCACATTAGCACTTACCCTCACACTCACATTAGCACTTACCCTCACACTCACATTAGCACTTACCCTCACACTCACATTAGCACTTACCCTCACACTCACATTAGCACTTACCCTCACACTCACATTAGCACTTACCCTCACACTCACATTAGCACTTACCCTCACACTCACATTAGCACTTACCCTCACACTCACATTAGCACTTACCCTCACACTCACATTAGCACTTACCCTCACACTCACATTAGCACTTACCCTCACACTCACATTAGCACTTACCCTCACACTCACATTAGCACTTACCCTCACACTCACATTAGCACTTACCCTCACACTCACATTAGCACTTACCCTCACACTCACATTAGCACTTACCCTCACACTCACATTAGCACTTACCCTCACACTCACATTAGCACTTACCCTCACACTCACATTAGCACTTACCCTCACACTCACATTAGCACTTACCCTCACACTCACATTAGCACTTACCCTCACACTCACATTAGCACTTACCCTCACACTCACATTAGCACTTACCCTCACACTCACATTAGCACTTACCCTCACACTCACATTAGCACTTACCCTCACACTCACATTAGCACTTACCCTCACACTCACATTAGCACTTACCCTCACACTCACATTAGCACTTACCCTCACACTCACATTAGCACTTACCCTCACACTCACTGTGCTCCTTGCTTTGTGATGCATCTTTCTCTCTGTCGCTACCCCACTTCACAACAGCTGTGCTGCCAAAGAACAGCCCCGTGGTCTCCCCTGGCTGGCTGCATGACAACCTGTCCAAAGTCAAGGTCCGTACAGTGGGTGGTGTGATATGATCACGAGGTGGCAGGTGGTGTGATAGCATCACGGGGTGGATGCCCTTTTCAAACATCCTTTTGCCTTCAAATCTCAATGCGCCGCTTCACACCCTTTTTCCTGCCTTGTCATCCCGCAACCGACTGACAGGTCCTGGACGCCTCGTGGTACATGCCTGCGGAGAAACGTCAGCCATTCGAGGAGTTTCAGGTAACGTGTGCCGTTGATGTCAAGAGTTTGGGGTGTCGTGTTTCGTTTTAGAATTGTCAAGAGTGTTGGGTGTTCTAGCCAGAAACGGCCGCCCATGATGCTATTGCTTGTAAGGAGCTTTGAGTGTATAGACGCGAGTAGTGCTCTGGATCCGGAAAGAAAGAGAAGAGGGGGAAGAAAGGGGGCTTTGGAAAAGGGCTTTAAACGTATTGTTTATGGATCTCATGGCACTCAAGTTGTGAGTCGCAGATGTGGACGGAGATATGTCCATGTCTAGCTGCTTTGGTACCAAAATTTTTATGCCCGGCGATCTTTTTCTCCCCCTCTCCCCCCCGTCAAATTTGAAAGGTTTCTCTCTTGCGAACGGAGAATCCCAGGGACGATCTACTTTGATATTGACGCCGTTGCTGAGACACCATATTTTAGACGTCTCAGGAAACATCCTCTCTTCTTCTCCATCCCTGTCTCATGTGCACACTGTGCAGCACGGGAGAATCCCAGGGGCGATTTTCTTTGATATTGACGCCATTGCTGACCCCACCACTGATGTACGTGTTTCATTTTTGTGAGGATATGGTTTTTTTGCACGGATGATTCTAATGCTGAAGTGGATTATTTTCTTGAATAAGTAGTTTGTGCTGTTAATGTGTCTTGACACATAAAACATTTTCGATGTTGAACTGAATTTGATCCTTCCTCTTGTTCCCGCCCATGTCTCCTACCTTTTCTTCACTGCATGGCAGCTTCCCCACATGCTGCCGACAGAGTCCGCCTTTTCTGCAGCGGCGTCGGCGTTGGGTTTGTCATCTAGTGACAGCATAGTGGTGTACGATGGCAAGGGCATCTTCAGCGCAGCTAGAGCGTGGTGGTGAGTGGTGCGATGCGCTAACAAGTGGTCAGGCTTGTCAGGCTTGTTAATGTATTTGTTAAGTTGTTCCTAAAAACAGCAATGTGGTGTATGGTGGCAAGGGCATCTTTAGCGTTGCTAGAGCGTGGTGACAAGTGGTTGGGTTTGTAAACGTAGTGGTTGAGTTGTCTTAAATAACAGCACCGTGGTGTACCATGGGAATGGCATCTTTAGCGCTGCTAGAGCATGGTGGTGGTGAGTGGTTCAATACGGTAACAAGTGGTTGGGTTGTCATCTGTCAAGGTGACAACATAGCGTACGATGACAAGAATATGTTGAGTGCCGTACAGAGTGGTGGTCGAAAATAAGCTGCTTGGAAACATCCTGGTGCTGTTTCAACATCCCACCCGCTCTCCAACTTCATCCTTCCACTTTTCCCCCTTCCTTCGTACCAACGCACACAGGATGTTCCTGGAACTTCGCATTCGGTACATGTGAGGCTGGCTGAATGCGGATTTCGCATTCGGCCAGCCTCACGTGGCAGTGCTGGACGGCGGGCTGCCAGCCTGGCGTCCAGCACGGATGGAGATAATGCCAGCCAGCTCACGTCTCCCGCCCCTTCATCTTTCCCCACCCCGTCCCTATATTTGTACTTCCCCCTCGTCCGCTTCCCAACGCACACAGGATGTTCCGTGCGTTCGGCTTGCCACACGTGGCGGTGCACTGGTGAAAGCGATATTGGCATCTCAAATCTGACCCTTGTTCTTTCCAAACCTTGTCCCTCCCTTTCCCATTCCCAACGCACACAGGATGTTCCGTGCATTCGGCCAGCCCCACGTGGCGGTGCTGGACGGCGGGTTGCCAGCTCACATCTGCCGCTCCTCCTTCATTTCCCTCTGTTCTCCACCCCTTGTTCCCACCACCCCCCCTTTCAAATTCTCCCAACGCACACAGGATGTTCCGTGCGTTCGGCCAGCCACGCGTGGCAGTGCTGGACGGCGGGCTGCCAGCGTGGCGGGCGGCAGGCTACCCAGTGGAGGCAGAGACTTCCGACAAGGCGGCCGGGCGGCACAAGGCAGCTGCTACCGCCATCAAGGACAGCTACTCCACAAAGGTGTGTATTCGGTTGGGCGGCTGCAAGCCTGTCTGGGGGCACAAGGCGGCTGCTACTGCCATCAAGGACAGCTACTCCACAAAGGTGTGTATTCGGTTGGGCGGCTGCAAGCCTGTCTGGGGGCACAAGGCGGCTGCTACTGCCATCAAGGACAGCTACTCCACAAAGGTGTGTATTCGGTTGGGCGGCTGCAAGCCTGTCTGGGGGCACAAGGCGGCTGCTACTGCCATCAAGGACAGCTACTCCAAGAATGTACGTATGGGGTTGGGCGGCACAAGGCGGATTGAGGACAGGTATTCCACTAAGGTGTGTATCCGGTTGGCCGGCGCCAAGGCGGCCGGGCAGCACAAGGCGGCTGCCACCGCCATCAAAGACAGCTATTCCAAGAATGTACGTATTAGGTTGGGCGGCTGTAAGGCTGTTTGGCGGCAGGCTACCCGGTGGAGGCAGAGCCTTCAGACAAGACGGCCGGGCAGCACAACGCGGCTGCCACCGCCATCAAAGACAGCTATTCCAAGAATGTACGTATTAGGTTGGGCGGCTGTAAGGCTGTTTGGCGGCAGGCTACCCGGTGGAGGCAGAGCCTTCCGACAAGACGGCCGGGCAGCACAACGCGGCTGCCACCGCCATCAAAGACAGCTATTCCAAGAATGTACGTATTAGGTTGGGCGGCTGTAAGGCTGTTTGGCGGCAGGCTACCCGGTGGAGGCAGAGCCTTCAGACAAGACGGCCGGGCAGCACAACGCGGCTGCCACCGCCATCAAAGACAGCTATTCCAAGAATGTACGTATTAGGTTGGGCGGCTGTAAGGCTGTTTGGCGGCAGGCTACCCGGTGGAGGCAGAGCCTTCCGACAAGATGGCCGGGCAGCACAACGCGGCTGCCACCGCCATCAAAGACAGCTATTCCAAGAATGTACGTATTAGGTTGGGCGGCTGTAAGGCTGTTTGGCGGCAGGCTACCCGGTGGAGGCAGAGCCTTCCGACAAGACGGCCGGGCAGCACAACGCGGCTGCCACCGCCATCAAAGACAGCTATTCCAAGAATGTACGTATTAGGTTGGGCGGCTGTAAGGCTGTTTGGCGGCAGGCTACCCGGTGGAGGCAGAGCCTTCCGACAAGACGGCCGGGCAGCACAACGCGGCTGCCACCGCCATCAAAGACAGCTATTCCAAGAATGTACGTATTAGGTTGGGCGGCTGTAAGGCTGTTTGGCGGCAGGCTACCCGGTGGAGGCAGAGCCTTCCGGCAAGACGGCCGGGCAGCACAACGCGGCTGCCACCGCCATCAAAGACAGCTATTCCAAGAATGTACGTATTAGGTTGGGCGGCTGTAAGGCTGTTTGGCGGCAGGCTACCCGGTGGAGGCAGAGCCTTCCGACAAGACGGCCGGGCAGCACAACGCGGCTGCCACCGCCATCAAAGACAGCTATTCCAAGAATGTACGTATTAGGTTGGGCGGCTGTAAGGCTGTTTGGCGGCAGGCTAACCGGTGGAGGCAGAGCCTTCCGACAAGACGGCCGGGCAGCACAACGCGGCTGCCACCGCCATCAAAGACAGCTATTCCAAGAATGTACGTATTAGGTTGGGCGGCTGTAAGGCTGTTTGGCGGCAGGCTACCCGGTGGAGGCAGAGCCTTCCGACAAGACGGCCGGGCAGCACAACGCGGCTGCCACCGCCATCAAAGACAGCTATTCCAAGAATGTACGTATTAGGTTGGGCGGCTGTAAGGCTGTTTGGCGGCAGGCTACCCGGTGGAGGCAGAGCCTTCCGACAAGACGGCCGGGCAGCACAACGCGGCTGCCACTGCCATCAAAGACAGCTATTCCAAGAATGTACGTATTAGGTTGGGCGGCTGTAAGGCTGTTTGGCGGCAGGCTACCCGGTGGAGGCAGAGCCTTCCGACAAGACGGCCGGGCAGCACAACGCGGCTGCCACCGCCATCAAAGACAGCTATTCCAAGAATGTACGTATTAGGTTGGGCGGCTGTAAGGCTGTTTGGCGGCAGGCTACCCGGTGGAGGCAGAGCCTTCCGACAAGACGGCCGGGCAGCACAACGCGGCTGCCACTGCCATCAAAGACAGCTATTCCAAGAATGTACGTATTAGGTTGGGCGGCTGTAAGGCTGTTTGGCGGCAGGCTACCCGGTGGAGGCAGAGCCTTCCGACAAGACGGCCGGGCAGCACAACGCGGCTGCCACCGCCATCAAAGACAGCTATTCCAAGAATGTACGTATTAGGTTGGGCGGCTGTAAGGCTGTTTGGCGGCAGGCTACCCGGTGGAGGCAGAGCCTTCCGGCAAGACGGCCGGGCAGCACAACGCGGCTGCCACCGCCATCAAAGACAGCTATTCCAAGAATGTACGTATTAGGTTGGGCGGCTGTAAGGCTGTTTGGCGGCAGGCTACCCGGTGGAGGCAGAGCCTTCCGACAAGACGGCCGTGCAGCACAACGCGGCTGCCACCGCCATCAAAGACAGCTATTCCAAGAATGTACGTATTAGGTTGGGCGGCTGTAAGGCTGTTTGGCGGCAGGCTACCCGGTGGAGGCAGAGCCTTCCGACAAGACGGCCGGGCAGCACAACGCGGCTGCCACTGCCATCAAAGACAGCTATTCCAAGAATGTACGTATTAGGTTGGGCGGCTGTAAGGCTGTTTGGCGGCAGGCTACACGGTGGAGGCAGAGCCTTCCGACAAGACGGCCGGGCAGCACAACGCGGCTGCCACCGCCATCAAAGACAGCTATTCCAAGAATGTACGTATTAGGTTGGGCGGCTGTAAGGCTGTTTGGCGGCAGGCTACCCGGTGGAGGCAGAGCCTTCCGACAAGACGGCCGGGCAGCACAACGCGGCTGCCACTGCCATCAAAGACAGCTATTCCAAGAATGTACGTATTAGGTTGGGCGGCTGTAAGGCTGTTTGGCGGCAGGCTACCCGGTGGAGGCAGAGCCTTCCGACAAGACGGCCGGGCAGCACAACGCGGCTGCCACCGCCATCAAAGACAGCTACTCTTCAAAGGTGTGTATTCGGTTGGGCGGCTGCAAGGGTGGCTGGGCGGCAGGCAAGGCCTAACTGCAGCCCTTCGACCATGAGTTTGGGTGACTGGTGGTGGGCACACAGATGTCTGATGGGACTGCCGGGCAGCATAAAGCGGCTGGAGGCGAAGTCATTTCTTTCTGTCAAAGGCAGCTGCTCCACAAAAGTTCAGTCACAATCGAGAATGCCTATGGCACTTTCCTTCTCTCTCATCGTTTTCTCTCTTCTCTTCCGCTCGTCTGTTTCTCTCTTCTAATTCTACTCTTCATTGAGGCGCGTTGAGGTGCCTACAACGTTTGAGGCGCCTCAGAAACCTTTTTTCTATGCACTGCTGGCCTTTTTTCTTCTTCCACGTCTCCCTGCTTGCTTACCATCGCCGCCAAGCTGCTGCCCATCCTCATTTTTTACTTGACTCTTGAATCGACTCAAAAGTCACATCTCCCTGCTTGCCTACGTTTTTTGAGAATTCCCAAAAAACACACTCTTCCACATCTCCCTGCTTGCTTACCACTGCCATTGAGTTGCAGCCCATCCTTGTTCTTGAGGCGGTGTTTACTCAAGTCCCGCCGTGCACTCATGTCCTTTTCACCCGCTTCCAAACCACTCCCCCTCTCACTCCCTCCCATCCATCCAGGCCGCATCCAACCGCCTCCTCACTTTCAACGCAAAGCTGCAGCCTAACCTCATCCTATCCGTTGATCAGGTGGGTGGCCCTTCCCTTCGCGCCAGATAATGCCTGCACCAGGTAGGGCCTGCACAAGTTAGGGTCTGCCCCAGTTAGGGACTGCACCAGATGTGTCCAGCACTGATTTCTAAGCCAGGCGATCCTTTCAACCGTTCTATTTCTGCCTCTTCCTTCCCTCTTGCTGTATGACTGTGGTAACGTATTTGTTCATCTTTGCATGTGTCAGGTGAAGGCCAATATCGAGAATAAGGTGTATCAACTCAGCGATGCCCGCTCTGCTGGCAGGTGTGTTGGGGTGGGGTGGGGTGGGGTGAGGTGGGGTGGGTTGTGGTGAAAACATTATGCAGCTCGGTGGGTGGAAGTATGGTGAGTGTTTCCTCTAGCAGTATGGTGAGTGTTTTTTAAATGATGGCATGGCAGCATGCTGGCATGCTGCTGACATGGTGGCATGCTGACATGCTGGCACGCTGGCATGGTGGCATGCTGGCAAGGTGGCATGGTGGCATGGTGATAATTGAAAATTGAAGACCTTTTATTGAATGTGTCACCGTAACAATATTATGCCAAAATCAGAAACTGAATACTTGTCATCGTGTTCGAACTGTAACCGTATCTAATCCCGCGTGTATGTATGTCTGCTCTCGTGTGTGCATGCGTGTCTATCGCTATGCGTGCATGCGTGTCTGGTCTTATGCATGCCCTGCTGCACTTATGGATGTGCTTGTCTGCTTGTATGGTGTGCATGCAGGTTCAAGGGCATAGACCCTGAGCCAAGGGCAGGAGTGCGAGGAGGAAGCATTCCAGGAAGCTTCAATGTCCCCTTTCCCGAGGTAGGTTACAGTCCAACGAAGCACGGGTCGGCATTCCATTGGACCCACTCCTACCGTTGGAGGACGTTCTCTTAAGATTTCCCAATAAACGTCGGCATTTATTCAACTTCCTTCTAGCATTTCCCAGTACTGTTATCCCTCAGTCTCCCTTCTGCCTATCACTGCCCACTGCCCACTGCCCAACAGGTCCTAACCCCACAGGGACAGCTGAAGCCGGCCTCAGACCTCACCCAAGCCTTCAAGAGCGCAGGTAAGTAAATGTGCCTGATTGGCTGTGGGAAAAGAAGGGGGGGGGGGGGGGGGGAGGGAAGAAAGGGGGCAGAATGTGCCGCTGCAGCTCTGCGTTTCTGGATCTCCCCTCTGCATTTCCCCGTGCTCCGCCTTTCTCCTCTCTATGCAAGACGCCTCAAACTAAACTTTCTGTTCTCTCCCTTGCTGGTCCTTTAGCGGCCTCCTCCCTTCCCTGTCCAGCTTGATCCTCCCAGTGATCTTTCTGTGACCACTTCCTCCCTGCCCTGTGACCACTTCCTCCCTGCCCTGTGACCACTTCCTCCCTGCCCTGTGACCACTTCCTCCCTGCCCTCCTCTCTTGATGTCAATTCTTGCAGGAGTCAACATCGAGGACCCCAAGCAGCCTCTAGCCGCTTCGTGCGGCACGGGAGTCACTGCCTGTGTGCTCGCTCTGGTACGTGTGCTGCACCGCAATGCACCACATTGCACCCAAGTGTTGCACCACACTGCATCATAGCACTGCCCATATTTCTGGCTGCTTCATGCGGCATGGGAGTCACTGCCTGTGTGCTCGCTCTGGTATGCACAGTGTGCACAGAGGCACGAAGCGCCACAGTGCACCTCGAAGCACCACAGTGCACCACGAAGCACCACAGTGCACCACGAAGCACCACAGTGCACCACCGTGCACCACGAAGCACCAGTGTGCACCACAAGACATCATAGTGCATCGTATCGCTGCCCGTAATAAAGCCTCTGGCTGCCTCGTCTAGCATGCAAGTCCCATGCGTGCTCCCTGTTCCTCCAGGGTTAGGTTTTTAGTCGACTCAAAACCAGACTCCAGTGTTGCGCTCTGCGATTCACCTCTCTCTCCGTCCCTCTCCATACCACTTTCCTATTGCATATCTCACTCCCTCTCTCCTCTCCCTCGCTGCAGGCTCTGGCTTGCCTGGGTCGGTGGGACGTACCCGTGTATGATGGCTGCTGGACTGAATAGGGCATCCGTCTGCACGGCTTGATCCTCCTTGATTAAGCTCTGCTGTTCGCCTCTCTCTCCCCATTCATCCCTCTCTGCTCTCCCTCGCTGCAGGCTCTGGCTCGCCTGGGTCGATGGGACGTTCCCGTGTATGATGGCTCGTGGACTGAGTGGGGTAGCCTGCAGGACACCCCCGTTGTCAAGGCCGAGTGACGGCACGCGGTATCCTGCAATAGTTATCCAGTCATAGAAAATACCGGTAGATTTCAGGACTCGATTGGTGTGTGGGCACTTAGTTACTGTACTAGAAGTATGTGCCTGATTGTTGGCTGTCTTGTTGTATTCGTTTAGAGGTCATTCAGCTTCCCGGTCTGTTTCTCACTTCCTTATACGGTAGGCTTTTCTGATGATAGACTGGAAACCACCTGTCAGACCTACCGTTTGTTTGTCTCCGCCTGGAAACCCAAGGTCCATACACCTCGTCGTGGCCAACGCCGAAACTTGGAAGGAAACACTTTTCACGGCACAATTTTTTCACAAAAAACAGAACCTTCGCTGCGGGAAACCATTATCGTACAAACAGCAATAGGCTGCGCTGCCCAGCTAGCACATGCTTTTTACGGTACTATCACGCTAAACCATACCAATTTATGGTGGATGGCTGTGTTATGTCCACTAATCTGAAGTGGATTACATCTGGCTTCACTACTTACGGTAGGGCGCAACTCAACCCTGATGAATTGCCTGTGTCCACCAAGCGGAACACCATGAGGGCCCACTAAATGAGGTTCCGTTTACGGCGCCTCCCAACCAGCCCAAAGCCGCTAAGCCCAGCTTCATGGCCACTAGCACGACGCTCGCCCTCCTGAGCGTCTTTTTCCCGCATATCCTTCCTCCCTCTGATCGACAGCCCCTTCTCCTTCAAACACGCTCTCAGCCATCCGAAAGTCAGCCAAACCACATCCCCTTATCCACTAATTAGAGTTCAACCCCAGCGCCAGCTTCAGCCTGACCACTAGCTCCTCCTTCCTCCCTCTGATCGACAGACCCTTCTCCTTCAAATACGCTCTCAGCCTCTCAACGGTCAACCCGTCCACATCCTTCTCGCTCGTCAGCCCCCTTATAGTCCGCCCCGCTTCCCGATCCTGCTCCATCCCGCCACCACCGCCGCCGCTGCTCCCCACGCCCGGGCCTCGTTTCGCGGGTCTCCCGCCGGGTCTAGACGCACCAATCGCGTCGTCCTGACCGGGATCCCCGGTGGCAGGACGTTTGCCTTTATCTTGCTGCTCGGATTGACGTGATCTGGTGTCATGAGCTGCGGCAGCAGCACCAGCAGCACCAGTACCAGCAGCAGCGGAACCAGAATTACCAGCAGCACCGATACCAGCAGCAGAGGCACCAGAAGCACTCGAAGCTTTCTTCACCTTGTCTTGCGCCGCCTTCGCCGCTTCCGCGTCGCGCGTCTTCTTCATGGTGAGCGCGCGAAGCAGGATGTTCGTCGGATCGGTGGTGATGATCTGATCGGACGGCGGAGACGTGTCGTGGTCGCAGATGTACACCGGGATCGACGAGGACAACGTGCACGCGGCCGCGGAGAAATTGCCGCGAGACGGAAGGTTCGAGAGAAGAGAAGACATGACTGCCAGGGAAGTTCCTAACCCTAAAGAAGGGTGGATGGAAAAGACTGGGTGGCGATTTTTGAGAGAGGAGAGACCCGTAACAACCTCTGAGACGTCTGGATGCTGGCCCTAAGGAGCAGGTAACAATTGCCCCGCACTCGCGCTGTATTCACTTGGAGTATTTCCAAACTGTTTAAAAGCTAACTGCTGGGGAACACCGAGGAGAACGCAGGCAGCGAAGGGGAGGAAAGGCAGCGTTCCAGCGCGGTAAATTGAAGCCAGGAAGCATTTAATACGCGAGCACTGATCGTGGCGAGAACGAGACGGAACAGAACCCGTCGTGAGATGACGCGCACCTACACGAGGGGAAACGGCGCAACCGCGTAATAAAGAACACTGGGGCTCACCCAGATCACTCACCGACAAGGAGTCGAGGCCAATTCTTCTACGAGAAGGTGCAAGCTTCAGGTAAACCACTAAACTAGGCCGTGATATGGACATACAGCACAGCAGCCATGGCGGAACCCGAAGTGAGTGAGATGGATGGAGCAACAAGAAGCAGCAGGCAATGCAGTCACCGAACCGAACCATACCAGAAACCGCAGAACCTCGTCCGAATTTCACACAGGCACCTGCAACAGCTGGCTCGGTATGATGCATGTTCCCTTCGCTGATTCCCGTTATGGCGCGGTTAACGGTAACCCTCAAAAACGTGCAACAACGTGAAGTTTATGAGTTACGAATAAATACACTGTTGGTTCAATACCCTTACGCTGGCTCTGTTGGCTCCATTGAAGTACACTGATTGAGTGTGCTGAATTTGTAGATGCATATAGCTGTATTATTACCATCTTAGCAATGATGAGACCTTCAAAGCACCGGGCATCAACATATTTTAAACTAACAATCTTTTATGGTAGGCTGCACAGGGCATACAGAGCCAAGCCATAGCTCCAACATGGCCATGGACACAGGCCATGAATAATGTGTGCCATCTTTTGATAGGTCTGGCCTTGATAGCGTCATGGGTATGGTTGAGATGAAAGGAACCTTCCATGAATTGATCAGGCTGCACATGTGAACAAAGAAAGAACACAATGGCGTTCATTCAAAAAAATAAAATAATAATAATAACGGAATAGGAACAAAAACACACACGAAAAAGGCAGGGAAGTTGCCTTGCCAGGGGATGAAAATAATAGACTGGCAACAGCAACATGTAGCAAGAGCAACAGAGAAGCGCCTAGGTGTGCAGCGGCGTCGAAAGCAGAGAGGCGGGGGTGGTTCATGGAATGCAGCAGGTTAGGGGCAACAGCTGACTGCTGCACTATCCACAGCCCCAACCACACCACTGCTGAGCACTCTCAAAAATGACTCAGAAATTACTGCAGGGACGTGCTAACCTGTGTGCGGCGGAGTCGAAAGCAGAGAGGCGGGGGTGATTTATGGAATGCAGCAGGTTAGGAGCAACGGCTGACTGCTGCACTGCCCATGGCCCCAACCACACCACTGCTGACCCCGGCCCTCCCATGCCGCCATTCACAGCAAAGCGCACCGACGCCACAAACTCCCGGTCTGCATAGAGAAAAGGGTTCAAGCGCATGACAAATACAACCATGGTATGCCTTGGGGCTAGTGGAGTGACCCGAGCCACGGTCCATGTTGTAAGCATTCAATCCAACCATAGTGATGACTTTTGAGTCGGCTCAAAAGGTGACTTTTCAGTCAACTCAAAAGCTATGGTATGCCTTGGGGATAGTGGAGTGACCCGAGACATGGTCCATGTTGTAAGCATTCAATCCAACCGTACAGGTTTATTTGAAAACCAAAGCTTTGGAATGCCAAAACCGCATCCTAAACAGCCTCTGTGACTGGTGCCTGTGCCTTTCCATGACACTGCTCTGACCAGGAACATCCTAAACATGTTCCCATCTATCGGCCAAATCTCACAAACTTTTAGGCGCCTCAAAATGTGCCTGTTCCATGAGCACTAATAATCCCAGAAACATCTTACACACGTTCCCATACCTTGGCCAGGTCTCACAATTCAGGTTAGGGACAGCTTACCAAGCGCCGCGGCATATTCCTCCGGCGAATCAAACGCTGCCAGGTCATGCAGCCCACTGGACGCCAGCACAAAGTCAAACGGCGCGTGCTCATTGGCCAGAGGGCCGCGCCGCGTGTGGTTCACCATCCAATCCCGGTACAGCGGCTCTGACGCGTTGGAGTGCGCCACAAACACCGCCACGATCTGGTCGGCATCTGCCGCCCGCTGCCGCTCCCTCTCCTGCTCCTCCTCCCGAATCCTGCTCGCCGTGCGGAGATCCCGAGGGTCGTCGTCTGTAGCAGTCATATCAAGCACATCCCGGCCCTCCACTGAATCATACATCTCCACTCCTCCTTGAATTCTGTCTCCGTTCCCCCTCCTGCTGCTGCTGGCACTTGGCGTTCCATCAGTGCTTGGAGCAGGTTCATCCTGGTCCTGCCAGCGCCTCCTCTTGTTGAGGAGAGCTGAATCCGGGGTGGTTGCATTCAGATCCACTGGTATTCTGTTCAGGATTGAGGCACCAGGATTGCATGATGGCGACAAAGGGGGGTGGGGCAAGGGGGAGCAGGTAAGGCAGGAACAGAGAGGTATGGAAATTGACTTGGTCATGCAGAAGTCTACTTTCGAGGCGCCTCAAAAATAGACGGAGGGGGTGGGGCAAGGGGAGCAGGTAAGGCAGGAACAGAGAGGTATGGAGATTGACCTGGTCATGCAGAAGTGTCCATAAACTTGGTTTCGAATTAAGATACGAGGAGCAGAGTGTGGTGGCGAGAGAGGTGGGTGGGGTATTTTTGGCGAAAGAACAAGAGAAAAGAAAGAAGAAAAAATTGGTAGCACAGTAACCAGCACCAAGCGCCACCACCCTACCTTGCAACAGCGAATCCGTTGCCCTCTGCGCCATAGTAGGTGGCGGCAACAGTGGGGGTGAAGTAGGTGTGGTGCACTGCCACGTGCTGCCCCTCTGATCCCGGCACCCACGGCACAGGCCCCTGCATGTGCGCCTGGTGCGATTCATAATGCAGGGAGGCATACAAGGGAGACTTCTTATGAGGCGTTGCAAAAGTGGTGTGCTGCCACGTGCTGCCCCTCTGACCCTGGCACCCATAGCACAGGCCCCTACACGTGCGCCTGATGATAGTCACACTGAACTGCAGAGGGACATGGACGAAGTACAGATCTTGAGACATTGCAAAAGCGGTGCACTGCCATGTGCTGCCCCTCTGTCTGAACCCAAGGTTTTGAGAGTGGCGGTCACCCAGGCCTTGGAGGGGGCGGCAGGGCAGCTGGTAAGGGACATTTTCCTGTTCCGTGCCTCTTCCCTTCCCCCAACCCAGCACGCCCTTCCCCCAACCCAGCACGCCCTTCCCCAACCCAGCACGCCCTTTCCCCAACCCAGCACGCCCTTCCCCCAACCCAGCACGCCCTTCCCCCAACCCAGCACGCCCTTCCCCCAACCCAGCACGCCCTTCCCCCAACCCAGCACGCCCTTCCCCCAACCCAGCACGCCCTTCCCCCAACCCAGCACTCACCTTATCACATCTGAGGCGAACGAGGGAGGAGCGGCGGTCGCCCAGGCCTTGGAGGAGGTGGCAGCGGGAGGAGGAGGAGAGGAAGGAGAGCATGTGCGAGAAGAGCACCCACTGCTGGCTGTCCCCCACCACCAGCAGTCGTTTTCCCTTCAAGCATGCGCGCGCAGCACTGGTGGGTATGGGGAAGGAGAGGGGTAAGAGACAATATTGAGTCACGTTGGAGTGGACAGGTGCGAGAAGGGCACCCACTGCTGGCTGTCGCCCACCACCAGCAGCTGCTTTCCCTCCAAACATGCGCGCACAGCAGTGGCGGATAGGAGGAAGATGGGTAGAATGCAAAGAGTGATTAAGACCAAGATGATGTATTCCAGCGGCAAACTGCGAGAAAAGCACCCACTGCTGGCTGTTCCCCACCGTCAACAGCTGCTTGCCCGTCAAAATAACGGAAACAGGGTTGAACCACATGCATGGGAAAGTGTTTTGAGATATCCAGATCTAACCGAGGCTATTGCAGTAACTGAGCAAAATTAGTGCCCCGAGTGAGGATCGAACTCACGACCTTAGGATGGCTCCGCCCATCAGAGTGGGAGTCGGATTGCTATGAGACCTACGCGCTACCGACTGCGCCATCGAGGCTTGTTTGCATCAAATTTATTCGATTTTCACTCGCCATGTTCTCTCAGAACTGTCAGAGCGAGCTTCACCCATTCTGAGTCCTTACCCCGGGGTAATTCGTTGAACATTGCAGGCGAAGGGGAACCACTGCTGATCAATCCACCGCCCTGCGTTCCCCGATTCCTCCAGCACCTGTGCCGTGCAGCCTGGTAGTGCCGCCTGCAGGCGAGCATACTCTTTCTTGTACGCCTCTGGGTCTGATGGCTGCATGCACACACCGCAGGGGAAGTTACGCGTTTTAATAGGCTAAATCAGCCTTTCCGGTGCAGGCTGGTTGGGTTGCCTGCAGGCGAACACGCTCCTGTGTGTAAGAAAAAAATCTCCATTGTTTGAGGTTACCTGGGCCTTGTCCCAGTCGTTTGAAGTGCCAGAAATCCCTACCCATAGCCCCCACCTGGGAAGATACGTTGTACTGGCCGACGAGCCGAAACTTGAGATGCCTCAACGCCTCGTCCGCGTCGTTTATGGTGTCGAAAAATCCCTACAGGAGCATACAGTACCACACCACATTCCCTACCTGCGCAGACACGTTGTACTGGCCGACGAGCTGGAACTCAGGACCTTGCCCGCGTCGTTTGAGGTGTCTAAGAATCCCTACCGGGGCAGGCAGTACCACACCCCATCCCCCACCTGCGCAGACACGTTGTACTGGCCGACGAGCTGGAACTTGAGGTGCCTCAATGTCTTTACCTCGTCAATTGAGGTGTCTAAAATCCCCAACCTGCGCAGACAGCACCACAGCCGTTGCCTGCACGCACAGCACCCCATCCCCCACCTGTGCAGACACGTTGTACTGGCCGACGAGCTGGAACTTGAGGTGCTTCAGGGCCTTCTCCTCGTCCCTGCTGCCCGTCAGCGAGGCCGCATGCACGCCCGTGAGGTACACGGACACCACGTACTCGCCTGGCTCCAATAGACGGTAACACGACTGAGTGGTGGGGAAGGGAATCCGGAGGGAGGGGACGATGGGTTAAGTGAGGAGGCATGGACGCTCGTCAGGTACACAGACACAGACGCATTCGCCTGACTCCAGTCGGTAACACAACTGGTGGTACGAGAGGGAGTGTGGATTTGCTGGAATCTTGAGTCCAAACGGGTTGTAGGTCAGACTGTAGGTCAGACAGCGCATGTCAGACAGCGCATGTCAGACTAAATGTCAGACTGTGCCATCAGACTGTATGTCAGACAGTGCACGTCAGATTGCGAGCAGCTGCATAATGTTACGTCAGATCAGAGTCCCTGTCACTCCACATGTGGAACTACAACATGCCATGACAGGTCCCAAAACAAGGTGCTGACTATCAAATTCGATACTACAAGAGCCATGGCTGTCACACCACATTCGGGCGACTAAAGCATACCATGACCGGTCCCAAAACCCAGCCAGCACACACGCACCACGTGGTACCCCTCGTCTGCAGCATGCGTGACGGGCGCGCTGAGGCGGATTCGGCCGTCCGCGGAGTGAAGGAGCACCTCCCACGTGGTTGTCGCCGGCGAGCAGCCCTTGTCCAGACGACGGCCCTCTGAATCCTGCAGTTCGTGATAGGCAAAGGAAGGATGTGTTGGGACGTCTAGTTGATTCTGGCTTTAGAATGGACGGGACCGGACGGAGTGGGACGAAAATGGAGGGGATGCAACAATCCTCGGAGGAAAGAGGGCTTTTCACGAGCTGGTCGGAGGGCGAGCAGCGCTGTCCCGGGCGACGGACATCGCAAAGAATTTGAAATGTCGTAGGATTATGAATCCTGGTATGAGTGTGACTCTTGATTGGTACGAATGTCACAACAATCTGAATCCTTTTACACTCTGAGGATCGCATCCTCCCAGAAAATTTTGAGTCCTGTTGCGAACACGAATCCTGGAAAAAGACGGGTGAAGTGAAACACAATTGAGGCTGACGGCGAAGGGAGGTATGACTAAAACGCGGAAAAGGTGTGTATATTTTTTAACTTCGCACGTGTCGTAGACTGAAGTGCGGAGTGAAAGAAACATCTGGTTCGCGAGATGCTGGCTGAATACCTGCTCATTATGCAACAATTGCCATACTACGACGATAATTATTGTAAAAATCCATGAGCTGACGTACGTTTCCCTTTCTTACAGAAACACAATTAGGTGAAAATATGTGTACCTCTGCTGAGATGTTGAAGCAGAGTTGCTGGTTCAGCTTCACGGATGGCTTGATGCCCGCACCGAACACCTTGACGTGATCTAATCTGCCATGATTGGATCCTTTCTCGTAACCAGTGGAACACTCTGAAACCGGATTCGAACTGCTACCTACATTTCCGGCGGCTAAACTAAGAAGCGAGAAGGTGAGCACTAAGAAAGCCACTGGTATGGCAAAAAAAGATGGAGTAGACTGATGTGAATAATATCGGTATGACGACATGATACCAAACGGTTTCGATCGGTTCCAGAGCAGAGCAGCTTTTCAGCTTAGGGTCCAAGAGCCTCGGGTTGTAGCAGCTCGTCAAGCTTCTATTGGTCAAAAGTTTACGAAACAAAAACTGTTAGCTCACCACACGAAGTGACGACAAGAAGCTATGCACTTGATTCAATAAAGTTAATGAAAGAACGCGGTCCTAATCTGTAAGAAAAGGCGAGGTGGCCTGGTGCTGAAACGGCGTCAGAACCGAAGATATGCAAGCTCCTAACACATCAATAAGTCAAGAAGCAGACGATCAGAGAACCAGATGAAGGGCCATGGACAATAAAGCATCACCGTCATGTTCCCTGAACATCATACCGTTGGTATCAGGCAAGTAGACGACAAATTCAAGGGAAAACTAGCGTGCTGTGATATGGTTTAGTACGGTATGGAAGCATGGGAAGGAGTGCATCTCGAATGGGAGTGCCAAACGAGACAAACGCGGTGCGAGCTGGCTATAAGCGTAAAAACCACAGGGATGACGGCGACGGACGGACGACCTCCTTCCTGCTGGATGGAGCACCAGCGGCAGGATTGAGGAATGACAGGAGGACGCGGAGCGGAGTCAGGCAGACAGGTTCGCAGGGATGGAAACAGAACGCGGTCCGACTGTTGCAAATCGCGCGCGAAAAGGTACAAGCGCCTCTGACAGCCGACAAATCCCGTCAGAGGAATCAACTACACCACATGTAGAACTCGGAAAAAAGAAACACATTTAACATAACAAGTAGATCGTCTCAATTCTCTAGGATAATCAACAGTCTGAAACCACAGCATTCCAGATTGAAAAAACAAGCCAACTAAGATTTTGTCCCGTTTAGATAAATCCAAGTGCATGCTGCATGCACAAAACACAAGTTAGTACGCCTATGCACAAGTCTAACCTTAAAAAAGGAGCACCACACCAACTGTACACTTCCACACCGCCTCTGTTGCACCTACATCTAGTGGAGATGCTGTTCTTCGAAACCACACAGGAGATTGCTGCTTCCGCACTGCTGCTATTTCTGCTGTTAGTGGTTCTACAGTTGTCCCTGGACGGAGCACCCAGTAGCGACTCTACACCATGCCACCTGCAAGCTAACGCCCAGCCAATTGCCAGTGCTATCATGGGAGATGCCCTAAAAAACGCCACGTGGCATGGATAGACTAGCCTGGAAACACGCCACGTGTCATGCGGGTGCACCTTCGAAGGGAGATTGACTCTTGAGCCAAGGCCATATCTCATGTGTCCAGCTCATTCATTGCCATGTCCCATGGGCCATGTCCCATGGTTTCTGTGTCACATGGTTTGTGCCATGCCACATGCCTCATGCCGCTGCCATGTCTCACGCCCCATGGCTTCTGTCCTCCCCCTTTTCCCCCCAGACCCTTCAAGCCCTGCCTGCCAAGTATCCTGCATTATGGCTTGCCAAGTGTCACGTCTCTTGGGGGGAGGAGGCGAGGGAGAGCAGGAGCTGCTGCAGGTCTTTGGGGCGGATGGGCTTGGTGAGAAAGTGGTTCATGCCCGCAGCAAAGCACGCCTCCCTCTCAAAGTCAAACGCACTCGCCGTCAGCGCCGCTATCACTACTGGTGGCTGCTCCTCCTCCTCCTGCTTCTGCTCCTGCTCCTGCTGCTCGTTCAGCTCTCCATCTTTGCTGTTCTCCACCACACTAAACCTACCACTGCCCTTTCCACTATTCCGCCTGCTCAGCCCACGAGTATACCCTCCCCCCCTCGCAAGTGCACCTGCATTGCTGCTGCTGTTGCCACTGATGTTGCTGTTCCCTCTGCTGCTGGCTTCCCCACCCCCCTCTGCCACTGCTGCTGCTGCTGCAGCTTCCCTCTTAGAACTGCTACTCCTGCTCATACCACCAGCACCACCACTGCTCCTGTTGCTTCTGCCACTCTTACTCAAACCATCACCTGCTGCCACTGCAGCACCAGCAGCAGCAGCAGCTACTGCACCAGTAGCATCCGCACCCCCACCTTCCCTCCTCCGCCGTTCGCTACTCTCACCATCGCTACAATCACTCCGGCTATCCCCCTCACTCCTACAACTCCTCTCCGCCTCTGCCTTCCTTATCCTCCTAGTAGCCTCCAACCCATCCATCTCCGGCATGTGACAATCCATCAGCACCAAATCATATCTAATCTTAAGACAAGCTTCCAAAGCTTGCAACCCATTATCCACAACATCAAATCTGAGCCCTAGATTCTTGAGCATGCGGGTTACCACTAATTGATTCACTTTGTTGTCTTCTGCTACAAGCACTCTCCACTGCCGCGCTACAGCCGGCAGCACCGGAGTTGCCTCTTCAAACGAACGATGCCGCCCACCAGCCAGGCTTCGACCGCTCGTGTGTCCGAAGCTGGTTGCCGAACCTGCAGCTCCGGCAGCAGCTTTAGCACTTCCGTATGCACCAGAAGCGTTAGCCTGGGCGATTGTGGTGGGGGAAAATGGTCCAGCGCTTGCCGTAACTCGGATGGACGTCCGGCCCGAGCCTGACGAGGCTCGGGATCCTCCCTTATTTGCACCTTTTGACTTCTTGCTTCTGCTCTTCTCCGAACCTGTGGCTGGTATAGTGAGTGCCAGACGGCGCGATCCTGCACCCAATGCTGAGTCAGCGGTTCGGCTGCGGACCGGGAGGCCTAAGGAGCCTCGGACAGTCAAGGCTCGGTAATCCAGGGAGGTTCGGGACGTCCGTGAGCGAGAGTAGTTCTCAGGTCCCTCATCTTCCGAACCTGAATCCCCATCCTCCTCCTCCTCCTCCCCATCCTCTTCTTCCTCCTCATGCCCCTCCTCATCTGTCTCCCCCACTCCCTCCTCCTCCTCCTCCTCCTCCTCCTCCTCCTCCTCCTCCTCCTCCTCCTCCTCCTCCTCCTCCTCCTCACTATCATACTCACTCTCGTCCTCCTCCCCTCCTCCCTCCTCACTCACCGCTCCACACTCACCCACGTCCTCACTCACTCCCGCGCACACGGTGAATTCAAACGTAGAGCCCTCCCCCTGAGCACTGGTCACAGAGATCTCGCCCCCCATCAGGTTCACCAGCGCCTTGCATATCGCCAGGCCCAGCCCTGTACCCCCAAACCGCCTGCACGTGGTGTTGTCCGCCTGGGAAACAGGGTATGGGGAGAGGGAGAGTGCACGCGGTGAATTCAAAGGTGGAGCCTTGCCCCTCAGCACTAGAAACACTCCTGCACACACGGTGAATTCAAACGTGGAGCCCTGTCCCTCAGCACTAGAAACACTCCCGCACACACGGTGAATTCAAACGTGGAGCCTTGCCCCCCCCCTGCGCGCTGGTCACGGAGATCTCGCCCCCCATCAGATTCATCAGCGCCTTGCATATCGCTAGGCCCAGCACCGTGCCACCGAACCTACGGCATGTGGTGTTGTCCGCCTGCGGGAGTGGGGAAGGGAAGGAGGAAAGAGGAGCAGCAGCGCTACGACTCATTCTCGCACTCATCACTCGTCTCGCCCCCCATCAGGTTCACCAGCGCCTTGCATATCGCCAGGCCCAGCCCCGTGCCACCGAACCTACGGCACGTGGTGTTGTCCGCCTGCGGGGGGGCAAGGGAAGGAAAGAAGAGGAGCACTGCTATGACTCATCTCGCCCCCCATCAGGTTCACCAGCGCCTTGCATATCGCCAGGCCCAGCCCCGTGCCACCGAACCTACGGCATGTGGTGTTGTCCGCCTGCGGGAGTGGGGAAGGGAAGGAGGAAAGAGGAGCAGCAGCGCTACGACTCATTCTCGCACTCATCACTCGTCTCGCCCCCCATCAGATTCACCAGCGCCTTGCACACTCAGCCAACGCCTCGCATATCGCCAGGCCCAGCCCCGTGCAGCCAACCGTACGGCATGTCGTGTTGTCCGCCTGTGGGGAGAGGAAGAGGGGGAAGGGGAACGGACGTTTCTTTAAAGGGCCTAAATAACAACTCTGCTCCAGTCCCACGCCTCCCAACCACCTGAATTTGGAATTGTCCGCCTGGGGGGACGAGGAGGAGGGGAGATGAGGGGGAGAAGCAGAGGCATGATATGTGGAAAAGTCTCCCTTGCACATCCTTGGAAATCCCAATGCCTGTATCCGGCTTTCGAGGCGCGTCGTTTGAGGCGCCTCAAAAGAAGTCTCCCTTGCACGTCCTTGGAAATCCCAATGCCTGTATCCGGCTTTTGAGGCGCGTCAAGAGGGACAAGCAGAGGCATGTTACGTGGAAGAGACCCCCTTGCACGTCCTTGGAGATCCCACTGCCAGTATCCGAAACTGAGTACTTGAGCAGAACCTTATCCACGGGCTCGCCCCGCCTCTCCTCCAGCTGCATCTTTAGTACATACATGCGAGCATGCTCTGCCACTCTCCCCCTACCCACCTCCCCTTACCTGCGTGAACGCTTGGAAGAGACTCCCTTGAACGTCCTTCGAGATGCCAATCCCAGTATCCGACACCGAGTATTTCAAAAGAACCTTATCCAGGGGCGCCCCCCGCCTCTCCTCCAGCTGCAGCAGCGGCGCTAGAGACGAAAACGACTCGCGCCGCCGCCCGCCACTGCAGCAGCCGTCCGTGTCGGCGGGATCGACGGTGGAGATGCGCACGGTGACGCGGCCGCGGGCGGTGAACTTGATGGCGTTGGAGACAAGGTTGAGCAGGACTTGTCGCACCCTCACTGCGTCGGCTAGGACTTTCAGCGGCACATCCCTACTGACGTGCGACTTGAGCTGCAGTGAAGGAGAGAGGGGGAAAGGGGGGGAGAGGGGGGGAGAGGGGGGGAGAGGGGGGGAGAGGGGGGGAGAGGGGGGAGAGAGGGGGGGAGAGGGGGGGGAGGGGGGGAGAGGGGGGGAGAGGGGGGAGGAGAGGGAACAAAACAAACGAATCAGTAAAGGTGAACGGGGGGGCAACAGGGAGGGTTGAGGTGAGTGGATGGAGATGCGCACGGTGACGCGGCCGCGGGCAGTGAACTTGATGGCGTTGGATACGAGGTTGAGCAGGACTTGCCGCACCCTCACTGAGTCGGCTAAAATCTTTAGGGGTACGTCCCGACTCACGTGAGACTTGAGCTGTGATGAGAAGGAAGGGAAAGGGGGCAGGGAGGGAAGTGGGGGAGAGGGGGAACTAAACAAACAAAGGAGGTGAGGTGAATGGGGGGAACACGGTGGGAGGTGGAGGCGAATGGGTGGGGGGGGGAGATGCACTCTCTCACCTGCAGCTTATTGACTTTTGAGTCGACTCAAAAGTCAACAAGGGAGGTGGAGGGGAATGGGTGGGGGGGGGAGATGCACTTTCACCTGCAGCTTCTTGCCTCTCGCCGACACCTTTTGAGTCGACTCAAAAGTCAATTTGGGGGGGACACGGAGGGAGGTGGAGGGGAATGGGTGGGGGGAGATGCACTCTCTCTCACCTGCAGCTTCTTGTCTCTCGCCGACACCTCATAGAGCGCCAGTGAGTGAGCCAGATGCTCCCTCACGTCAAACTCCGCAAACTCCAGACCACACCAGACCAGACCAGACCAGACCAGACCAGAGCCAACCACTTCACTTTCAACGCCCTAGCTCCGTCTCACCTGCAGCTTCTTATCCCTGGCAGACACCTCATACAGCGCCAGGGAGTGCGCGAGGAGCTCCCGCACGTCAAACTCTGCAAACTCCAGCGCCATCCTCTCGTTCTCAATCTTGCTCAGATCCAGAATATCACTCAGGATATGCAGCAGCCCCTGGCTGGAACTCCTGATCGTGTTCACCAGCATCTGCTGCTCCTCCGACAAGGGTGTATCCAGTAACAGCTCCGCGACCCCGATCACGCCGTTCATCGGGGTCCTTATCTCGTGGCTCATATTCGCCAGGAACTGTGTCTTCGCTAAACTCGCCTTCTCCGCCTCGAGCTTCGCTCGCTGCAAATCCGCCTCCTTCCGTTTCAGCTCGGCTATGTCGTGCCACACCATTAAGTACACGTTTTCCCCGAAGAATTCAACCATGCGGCAGAGGACTTGTACTAGTACTGCTCCGCCCTCTTCGTCCCGGAAGACCCATTCGAACCGCCGCCACCGGTTCCCCGTGCCTCCCACCGAGTCTCCCGCCAGGCCTGGCACGGAGGAGTCCGCTGCTGCCGAGCCTCCTGCCGGGCCTCCTGCCGAGCCTCCCGCCGAGCCTCCTGCCGGGCCTCCCACCGGGCCGGAGGCGGCAGCAGCGGTGGCGGCAGCGGTGGCAGGAAACGGCGACGACGAGCCTGGGTGCTGATTTACCGAGCCTGAGGTTCGGTTGGACGGCTGGTTGGAGGCAGCGAGGTGGGCGAGAATGGCTTTAAGTGCCGAGGCGGGTTGCTTGGTGGTGGGCTGCTGGAGGGGTGAGAGGCGCCAGGGCGTGCGACCGAGCAGAGACTCCTTGGTGGGGCACTTGAGGATGCGCACTGCCGCCTGGTTGCAATCAAACACCCGGCCATCCTTTGTTAGGAGTAGCTTCGGGTCCTGGGGGGAGAAGGGGATAGGGTTTAGGGATAAGGGAGGGGCAAGGGATAAGGGAAGGGGAAGGGGAACGGGGAGGTGAGAAGCCTAGGTGGGGGTTTTCCAGGGTGAAGGGGCACTCAGAAGGCTGGTTGCTGGAGGGGTGAGAGACGCCAGGGCGTGCGACCGAGGAGAGACTCCTTGGTGGGGCACTTGAGGATTCGCACTGCTGCCTGGTTGCAGTCAAACACTCGGCCATCCTTTGTTAGAAGGAGCTTCGGGTCCTGCCGGGACCAGTGGATAGGGGGAAGGGAAAAGGGAAGGGAAAGGGGACGCGGAAGGTGAGAAGCCTAGGTGGGGGTTTTCCGAGGCTAAGGGGCGCGCAGAGGGCTGGTTGGATGGAGGAGGCAAGGTGAGAGGCGCCAGGGCGTGCGGCCGAGAAGAGACTCCTTGGTGGGGCACTTGAGGATTCGCACTGCTGCTTGGTTGCAGTCAAACACACGGCCATCCTTTGTCAGGAGTAGCTTGGGGTCCTGGGGGGGAGTGAGGGAGGGAAGAAAGGAAAGCGGAAGGGAAAGCGGGAGGGGAAGGTGAGAGGCCTGGGTGGGGTTTCCCTAGGCTGAGGGGCAGTTAGACGGCTGGTCGGAGGCACCAGGGCGTGCGGCCGAGCAGAGACTCCTTGGTGGGGCACTTGAGCATTCGCACTGCTGCCTGGTTGCAGTCAAACACACGACCGTCCTTGGTCAGGAGTAGCTTGGGGTCCTGGAGGGGAGTGAGGGAGCAGGATTGATTGTGACAGGGAGATGTTTTGGGTGTGTGTATACCAGCAAGCAAGGGCGCTCCTTGGTGGGGCACTTGAGGTTTGCACTGCCGCCTGGTTGCAGTCAAACAAACGGCCGTCCTTTGTCAGAAGTAGCTTGGGGTCCTGCCAGGAGGGGAAGGAGGGGATGTTTGGGTGCTGATAGTTCGCTTTTGAGTCGACTCAAAGGAAGGAGGGGATGCTTGGGTGCTGATAGTTCGCAGGCACGGGACACAGCCAAACATCGCCAATACGTTGCACGGGACACGGCCAATACGTTGCACTAAAACCCCGCCTTTAAAAACTCTCAAAAGCACCGGCTCGCAATGTCAGAGCGCCTAGCACCGTCAGAGCAGCTAGCTAGCGATACCAGAAGAATCAGCAAGAAGAGCAGAGCAAATTATTGAGTTGAAGCCACTCCCAAATGTCACCCAGATGAATCGGTACACCGTAAGGGGCGTGCATGGGTCGAGAGTGACACACATAACGAGGAGGGCTAAAAAAAATCACACAGCGACACCAGACAACTCACGGAGGAGAGCTCGAAGAGCATCTTGAACTTGAACTGGTTCTTGCGGCTCTCTGTGATGTCATTCACGAGCCACATGTCTCCAAAGCCCAGCGAGTACGACGTGGCGTCTAAGAGCAGCTTCGACCCGTCCTTGCGCTGCGAAGGGAGGGGTTGGTAAGTAGGTATGGGTATGGGGTGGGTATGCGGTTAGAGAGGGGAAAAGGCTGTTGTTGCGGCTCTCTGTGATGTTGTTTACGAGCCACATGTTTCTGAAGCCCAGCGAGTACGACATGGCATCCAGCAGCAGTTTCGACCCGTCCTTGCGCTGCAAGGGGACATGAGAGGAGAGAGGGGAGAGAGGGAGGCGAGGGAAACAATGGCCGGGTGGGAGAGAGGGGGGCAAGAGAAGGAGGCAAAAGCGCCGTTGCATTTCATGCTGTCAATGCCCCCCGTCCATCCTGCCTTGCTTTCCCCCACCCTTAACCCTGCTATGTATGCACCCATCCTCCGCCCCTCGTTCTTGCACTGCGCCTTGGCAGAATTCTCCCAGCCATACAGCGCACGGAACCACTTCTCCACACTGTCAATATCCCTCCTCCCCTTCCTTCTCTCCCATAACCCAACCTCAGTATGCTCCCCAATGGACAGAGAGAGATCAAAGACACACACACAGGGGAACGCACCCGGATAGGCAGCACGGTGTTTTTGAGGCGCCTCAAAAATCGTCACGGTGTTTTTGAGGCGCCTCAAAAATTGTCACGGTGTTTTTGAGGCGCCTCAACAATGGACAGAGAGAGATCAAAGACACACACACAGGGGAACGCACCCGGATAGGCAGCACGGTGTTTTTGAGGCGCCTCAACAATGGACAGAGAGAGATCAAAGACACACACACAGGGGAACGCACCCGGATAGGCAGCACGGTGTTGAAGACATTGTTTCGCGCAGCCCCCATCCTCCTTCCCTCGTACTTGCGCTGCGCTTTAGCCGCATTCTCCCTTCCATAGAGAGCTCTGAACCACTTCTCCACGCTGTCAATGTCGCCCCGAGCGCACCCCAGCAGGTGCGCGGCGGTGGAGTTGATGAGCACCTCCTGCCGGCCGTCCAATGCTCGGGTCATGAGCACGGCGCCGCCTGGTAGATTCTCCACCATCATCTTGTACTTCCACATGCTTTGTTCCTGTTAAAAAAGGGGAGAGAGACGGCGGGAGAAAGAGATGTAGGGAGAGAGGGGAGCGTGAGCAGGAGGGCGGCGGTGGAGTTGATGAGCTCCTCCTGCCGGCCGTCCAGCGCCCTGGTCATCAGCACGGCACCGCCCGGTAGGTTCTCCACCATCATCTTGTACTTCCACATGCTTTGCTCCTGTGAAGATGGGCGGGAGAGGGAGAAGGGAGTGCAGTACAAGGGGGTTTGAGCGCAAACATGCACATTACTTAGAGCCCGCCCAGCACAACCACGGTAGATTCTCCACCATCATCTTGCGATCCCACGCGCTTTGCACCTGCGGAGGTGAGAGGGGGGAAGGAGAGTGAGTGAGAAAGAGAGGAGATGAGAGAGAGAGAGAAAACGAACCATAATCTTCCACATGCCCTGCTCCTGCACATATGGGTGTTTGAGAGTGATAAGAAAAGAAATGAAACAACAACAAAAAAAAGGAGAAGGTGAGGTGAGGGAGACAGAAAACTGAATCTGTCGCCACATTCAGATGAACCACATAGAGTCCACTACCGTCAGATGAACCAGCCGCCACATACCAGTGCCTTCCTGTCGCTGATATCCTCCAGTAGACTACTGATACACCACATCCGTTATACGCATTCGTGTTTGCACACCCCACACACATACCAGTGCCTTTCTGTCGCTGATATCCTCCAGTAGACACAGCACCTGCACCTCCCTCGCCGTCTCCTCATTTCCCCTCTCCTCACCCTCCGCCTCTCCCTCCTCTTTCCTTTCCTCCATTCGCTCCTCCTTCCCATCCTCCTCTCGCTGCACCCCCTCCTCCTCTCGTTTCTTCTCCTCCTCGC